TGGGTTGTGCTGAGGAAGATGTGTGGACAGACTGCTCTTACACTACACTTCAGGAACTTGAAAGAATAAGACCAGTGGCTAACCCAAGCCATCGGTGATATCATAGCTGTCCAATGTGTCCTGGAAGTTTCCGCTTTCCCCAGTCATGGATATTCAAGACCGACAACGCAGCAACGACCTAGAAAACTAGACAGGCTGCAAATCATCATCCAGAATCTAATGGCTTCGTGTGTCAGAAGAGTAGCAGACAAAAAATTGTCACACGAAACTAAAATTATAACCTCATCTGGAAAATAACAATTTTTGCATTCCTCCACCAAGCCAGAGATTCAGCGGAGTGTGTTTTTTCCAGGAGCTCCACTGCTAATGCACTAACCCAGTACATTACGGCACAATTAAGCAAATAATGAGTTCAGTTTACTCAGAGGGAACTGAGCAAATCCACATTGCAGGCCTCTAGACCTAGAGGCTCCTGACATATAAGGAAGAAAAGTAGGATAATGAGTGCATAAGGGATGAGAGGAATTGAACCTGGTCTCTTTTTGTGTGATATAGTAAAGATCAGTACTTCTGGGTTATCTTAAGTCATGAATACACACACACACACTGTATAAGTCTATATGATCATCCCAGTAGCCTTTGAAAAAACTCAGTTTTGCAACCTCTTTAAAAACAAAAGATTCAGATTCATTATAATTTCTGGGTGATTTAACTGCATAGCCTCCACAGCAGCCCCTGGCTCTCACCAAGTGATGAGTCAGGAGTTATCTTCGTGATTCAGTTCTTCACGTTTACAAAAAAGAGCAAAACACCAAAGGTGACGAGCACCCACATAGCCAACTCCCAGCACAATTCAATCAGGCCCTTTTATCAGTTTGAACAATGGAGATATCAGCCACTGCAGGACAAAGATCAAAGCAATCATTGAGATTAATGCAGCGAGTGCTCGGAGAGCCTCACACGTTCTGCATTAACTTCCTAGCAAGCTATTCAAGGCTGTTCTGCTAAGCTAACCCCACTCCTTGCTGTATTTTGCCAATGCATTTTCTCTTGTTCTTTTAGAAAAAAGCTGGCACAACCCCTCCCCTTTTTTGGCCACAACATAAGCAGCTCAAGCGATTGAGACTTAAGGATGTTTGGAAAGATCAGATCATGCCAAAGATGAGGAATGAGAGCTAAACAAATATTGAAACATGCAAATGCTCAAGGGTAAATGTCAGCTCCACACAACAAGACCAACAGCCAGAAAATGTGTATACATTAATATTATTTTAAAAGAAGATAGAAATAATGTAATCTTCTGTTCACCTTCTGACACATTTTGAAGAGGTGAGAACAATCCATGTCCCCAATTCTTCAGGACCGTTCAAAACATATATCCATCCATTTTCTAACCACTGCTTCCAAATCAGGGTCACAGGTGAGCCAGAGCCTATCCCAACAAGCAATGGGAACAAGGCAGGACACACCCTGAACGGGACACCACGGGACACTTAGCCCAAAGTCTGACATTGGGAAACAAAGGCTTCCAGCACTGATTAACATTAACAAATTCAGTGGGTTCAGCAGAGTAATGCCATTTCCATTTGAAAATGGCAGATTAAAAAAAATTACAAATCCACACTTACAGTAAGTACACAACAATAGGAATTTTCTATTTTGTCCCGAAACCAAAGTTCTTTACAATCCAACCCCTTTTGCGGTGCAGCACAGCAATCACGTGCTGCCAAGCAGAGAGCTTAGAAATAAATGACAGTAGGATTTAGGAGTTAGTTTGCCTCAGAACTACTTAGCGCATAACTGTTTAGCTTAATACCTGCAAAAATGCAGATAGACCTTGCCTATTGGAAAGAGAAAAATAAAAACAGGGGGTTTAGCCGTCCATGGTTTCCTTCATTTCTCTTTAATTTACATACCAACGTATCCACAGACCTCAGGAGAACTGCAGGATAAAGAAAATATCTTCTCTAGGAAAGGTGAAGAGCATGATTCTCATTAAGAATACATGAATGATTATGTAACAGAACTGCGAGATGATACTTAGTATTAAAATTCTCTAACCAACCTGAATTTCGATTGACCATTTTTGCAGCTTTGCTTACGGATCCCCCCAACACAGAGAAACCCTGCATGTTCCTTTTTTGTTTGGTGAATTCACTGTGGGAATATCAGGGCCCTTATTTCTGTTGCTTTTGACACGTGGGTGGAACAAGTAAGGACAGCACATGTAATCAGAGCAATCAGAGTTATAGCACATTCATAAACCCACAGAATGGAATACCTATGAGATTTTTTTTTTTGCTCAGCTCTGAAATCATTCAGCTTGGCAGGCTGTTTTGGAAAAGGAGAAACAAAGCAGGCTGAGTCAGTCAGATGAGGGGGATAAATTGAATCATCTGTTTTCAGATTATCTCATTTTTTTATTTTTTTGGGTCTGAGGTACAGGACCTTTATGAAGATGAATTAGCAAGTTGAGCACGCAATGGGATGAGCAATGTGTGGAAAATGAACACAACTGTGGACAGAGTGTGAACTACAAAAGGAAAAAAGGGGCAACTTTACCATACTATGAACCAAGTTTACCAAATCAATTGGCCCTGCCTTGGAACCAGGACAATGACTAGTGTAGGGTCACCATTGACAGTGTGAGATACAGGAGTCCTAGAGCTGCTTCACTGACAGTGAAGGCTCTGGCAATCCAGTCCTCAGCAGAGCAGGTGGAAGAAGTTACCTCGATTTTACGACTCATCTGAAGGACGGCACCTTTTTACAGTATAACGTCCCCGTCACTATACTGGGGAATTAGGACCCACACAGACCAAAGGATGAGTGCCCCCTGCTGGCCCCACTAACACCACTTCCAGCAGCAACCTTAGTGTTTCCCAGGAGGTCTCCCATCCAGGTAGTGACCAGGCTCACACCTGCTTAGCTTCAGCGAGTTGGCAGTTGTGAACTGCAGGGTGATATGGCTGCTGGCATAGATATGTACAGTGGTGGCATGAACAGGTATGCTGTCAAACACATTCCCCCAGTCCTTTCACAAAACGCTAATGGTGATGGGGGCAGAATAGTGATGTCTGGAAGCTTCTAGTCATGATCTGGCATGGAGGGCAGTATCATCACTTTCAACTGAACAGCCACATACAGAGGGATCACCCTCCTGTGCCCAAAACACAACTGAGAATTCAAATCCAGGACCTGGTACAACAGAATTGTCCTGGGCTGTCCAGATAACTAGACAGAAAACCATACTGTAGGTTTGACCAGGAATACTGTCAAACATAAAAGAGATGGAGAAGGGCAACTCAAGGAAATTGGCTACGCTTTGAACATTGAATTCATAGAGCTGGACTTGCAATCAAGAATAACATCAACCACATCTATGAACATCCCTGGAATGGAATCAATGAGCGTCATCTTTTATTACGTCTAGCAATTTCTTCCCTATTGTAGATGAAGACAAAATCAAGTAAGATCTTTATGTCAAGCTTGACCACATTCTCTGTGGAATCCAGAAGGTGGAAAGACTTATTTTCAATGCAAGAATTAAGAGACACAAAATATCTAGTGGAAACACTGGCACCTTATTTACTACTGTATGCTATTGTCTATGATATTAATAGAATCATAAAGATGTCCACATCACCAGAGCAATGACCAGAGCTCAAGACTGCTGAATTGATCATGTTGTATCTGTTCAATTATGTCTATCAAACCAGCTCCAGACCTCACATCTTTGTGAGGAAAAGGACCAGGTGATCAATGAGCCTACTAATCACAAGTGCAAGGCTTTCTGTACTTGGCCAAAGTCCAAGCAGGAGAAGCTGGCCAAACAAAGAAAAGGGGAAATTTAACCTAGTTTAGGAAGCGGACAGACCAGACAAAGGAAATTCAACACACTTTGAACTGAAAGTTCATTTACAGAATTTGCCAGTTTCACAATGATATACGTGCATCACTGATAAATCTTGTACAGATCCCTTTGATGTCTGGACAGGAGTAAAAAAAAAAAAAAAAAAAAAAGAAAAAACAACAACAACTAAGTGTCATCGATCCAACTATTTTTCTTCCGAATTCCAGTGTGGGAGGACAGCCACACCACTTTAAGCATTCTCTCTGGTTCAACATTCACTGACATACAATCATCTGCCACCAGCTCAGCTTGGTTGACCGTGAATCACAAACTCAGATTCCAGGCTCTGAAGGAAGGTTCTCTTCTCCTGTGTTAGCTAAAAGAATCACACCACAGGAGGACAGAGGAAGCAATCAAATCGGTTTAGGAAATGCAACTCCAAGCACTTTAGATATGTTAAGGTTTCAGAATGATAAAGAAAAGTGAGAAGAGAGCTCATCGCATCTGGAATGAATTCAACACAATCACATGTTTTCCAAGATAACACTTGAAGAACCTGGCAATTGGCAGAATTTGCAGGGGTAGCTAATTAATAAATGGTTGATATACTTACTGTGAACATATAACTATACTTGTATGACAATCATACAGTACTCCTCATAACTCACAATATCATGCAATTACCTTTAGCAATTCAGTGGGATATTAATAATGTGATGTTAGAATGACTTTTTATTGGCAATTTAAGCTATTAAACAAAAAATTCATAAAACGCAATGTCCATTCATAAACAAAATAAAGTTATACAAATAAAATACCATCGGCAGAGCACACAGGAAAACCATATAACAGGTACGGTATACTTGCAAACTGCCTTGCCATCAGTCGAAAAACCATTGTGCCATTGGTACTGTACGTAAGATAACCCAAAAAATCCAAAATGGAGCTGTTCACAAAAAAAACACATGGCTTAATAGCTTAATCACTGTCATGCCCGAGGAAACCCTAAGAAATCGTCATTAAATGAGCAATTTAACAAACATAAGATATTAGGCAAGGTCATCAGACAGAGCAAATGGTGTTTTCTCATTTACAACATCAAATCTGTATTATAATAAAAAATAAATGAATCCAGTAGACTGTGATGTCAGATTATTTTTTTAATGGGACCTTTTCGCACATACAAAATCAAAAATGCTACTTTTTTTCAATTTATATATGTTTTCATCAGCCCATCACCAAAAAGATATATTAAATTATGACATTTAGAGTATGAAAAGCTTTCTGGTTCAACGTGTATAATTTATTCCTGCATTAAACAATATTCACAGTTATATACAGTACATTTAAATCTGGCCATTTTCAAAGAAATACCAACTGTATAAACTATCTTAAAAATAATAAAGCAAGAAGATAGAAAAGCTGTCAAAATGTCAAAGTATTTTTTGAAAAAATATGATAAACCTTTACAATGGTATGAAAATTAAATTAGAATTATTTTTATAACCTTAGGCACATTTAAATACGTGGCGTTGGGTATCTCAATTCAACCGAGTTGCTCCTAAAACTACCTAAGCAAAGACTACTCAGGTGCTGAGAGGCTGAAGAAATTAACACAACGCTTAACTAAACAGATATGTAAACGGGTTAAATCTGTTATCTCTGCAGCTTCTGTCAGTTGACATGTCAATCACCAAGTGCATAATCCACAATATAAATCATATTTCAGGCTATCAATAAAGTGCCTCTAAAGTATAGTTCAATCTATAATATTCCAAATTGAACACATTTGACAGTAATTATTTCTTTGGTATGTACATCATTGTTTTTTCCCTTGTGTTTTGCTAGGCATTTCTTTTAATTCCTTAAATGAATATTAAACCAAGTTATTTTATTATTAAAGCAGCTAAGGACACAACCAAGACCACTACCTTAAAAAGAAATAAAAATAACTTCAGTGCAATTCACCTGCGCCATCATGGAAAAACACTGTAAAAAAAAAAAGTTCCCTTTTCTAAAGATATTGGTTATTCAATGTGCACTGTGAAGGAAAGCAACATGCCAAGTTTTTAATTTTTGTATGTCAGATCAATTCTGAAGGGAGCATGTTATTCATAGCACTAGAGACGTCAAATAAACATTGTTGCATTTTTTCGCTGAATAACATCTGAACTCTTTCTGTTCACATGTCCAAGTGAAGACAAACAAACAAGTTTGGTTTTAAAGTGAGTATTGTTTTACCCAAAGAGACTTGTTCCACAAGCAGTAGAACTATTAGAACTAGAAAAGAAAAGATGAATATTTTTTCCGTCATGTGTCTTTGCTAGCCTACCGGAAAACACATAAGGATGGATTGCTTTAAACCAACTGTTTACATCAGAAGAGCCAGGGTGCCCGATTCAGATATAATTTTAGGAAATAACACCTTGGGCTGTAGCAGTTAAAAGGATTAAAACAAGGTTATGGTTCTACATAATAAAAATAAATTATCCATAAGGTAAAGGTTAGGATTGCTAAATGCAATTCTTAAAACTAAGAGTGTCTCACTTCAGTGGTCATGAATTAAAAAAAAAAGCAAATAGTGTGTGAAAGCCGATAATCTAAATGAAAGAAAGACCTCATGAAAAAAAAGTCGACTCAAGTTTACTCAAGATATTTGTGCCGAGAAGGTTTGAACAGTATTCTTACATTTGTTGCAGTTTGCTTATTATATGAACTATTATGTCCGTTATTTTTGCATATCACTCAGCTCCTTTATAAATTTAGTAAGGACAGAACAACAACTCTATCCTAAACATTTTTATACTAAAACAGAAATATGCACATCAAATATTTCCCGATTCCATATTCAAACAGGGTGTGAAAAACGATAGTCCATACGTCCTGAATAAGTTTCCAAGTGTACCACTGTGGTTTTTCGGCTGCACCACCTGTTGTGTGAAAGAAGCGGATCTGATTTTACAATGATCTATTAGTAAAACCATTTTTAAAAGAAATTCTTAAAATATCTAGCAATATGGCACATATACTTTATTTAGAACAGACTTGAAAATCTAAGAAAAATGTACAACTAGATTTTCAAAAACGGGTGAACTGTACTTCTGGCACAGGCAGACATTTCTGATTGCTATTTTGAAGGCAAGTTTAAAGAAGATAAGAGATGGACACTGAACAGTACAAAGTAATGCGGTGACTTAATAACACACTTTGCTGTCAGTGAGATGAGAGGCAATTCCATTCGACTGCAGTGCTTTCTTTATTTGAAATGCTAAGTATTAGAGATACTTATGGAACCTTTACTATGGTTCAGAAAATCATCTTCAAGTTTACATTCTGTATGCCAGTGACCTGCCTGTCAGAAGCCTCAGAAGAAAAAGCTCGATCTGGCTGCTCCTGTGATATGACAAGGCAATGAGTTCCAAACCAATCTGCTTTTTTAATATAAACATTGCTTGAATCACTTCAGACACAGTTTGGTGTCCCTTTCAAAGTCAGATTTACTGGAAGACATTCAAGAGGCGTCACTGTACGTTTCCCAGCCATCCAAACTTCTCTGGGTGCTCTGTCAGATCTTTCCAATTTACGGTGACACATTCAGTAGCTTTGTTGATCTATTTGGGTAATTAATGGCCAGGCTAATAGCAGCAATGTTCTTCAGTGCCTGAAAAAGTAAGTTAACAGAGAGGGCGTTATGCAATGTGGGCAGCTATTCATCACATGAATCTGTACTTCATACCATTTGTTCCAGGTTGACTTTCACTAACATATAATGCTTTGCATATTACAAAAAAACCTGCATCTTTTCAATTTACAGTGAAAGTAGTTATTTCATAGTTGGAACACTTTGTACTATTGTGGCCTATGATTACTGATAATAGACATCTGAGGAGTGTCTTTGTTCTACAACCTATAGAACAGCACAGGAGATAATTTGCATGCATCTTCTGAAGTCTAAAGATTGTCTACTTAGTGTATCAGGTTTTATTTCTTGATGAGAAAGGAAACTAAAGATAAGAATCTTAAACATCAAGAACATTATATTTACTCTGTAATAATTGCTTAAGCAATTTCATATGAGCTGTGAACTTAATGTCTTCCATGTACTAGCTATAAAAACATGCATGTTAACAGAATAATTAAGTATAAGATACACTAACCTAGTTTGGTGACACTTATGTATTGATAATTATGTACTGATACAAGCTATTGCTCAGGTACAATCAAGTGCAAAAGTTCAAAATGTCTAAAGTGGAAATGTCACATTTTTGTTTGCAATCACATCATAAAATGGATGATCTTAATAAGAAATACAATTATATTATTCCCAATAGACTGTTAATATTTTTAAGTTTGAAAATAAACTACATTTATCTGATGAGTCAATGCACAGTAACTCAATTTAAAAAGATATTAGCAGTATATAAAAGAGAGCTATGATAAAAAAAATAAGCATGCGTCACTTTAATGCTGTCTGCAACAGATGTGATATGGCTCAATCATCTCTGATGCATGCAACTGCCTCTATTCTGTTTACACAAAGCAGTGTTTTGAGCCATTTGCTTGGAAACTCAGACTCAGATAAGAATCATCTGATGACACAAGTACACACAGACTTTCACATGTTGTATATGTAAGCCAAACAAAAAAAGTGTTTTTTTTTCTCATTCTTGTAAGATGGATTTGCCATTATTTACATCCCGATATTCCACGGAAGGCTCCAGAAAATGTGCTTTTTCAAAACAGCAGCTGAGCCCAAGCTAGGCACAGGCTATTTGTTTAATCACCATGTCAAAACCAGCTGCAGCCTGTACCTGTACTGTATGGATGTGGAGCTGTTCATCTGTAGTGAGGGCTATCAGGTATTCCTGGAGAACCCCCAGCTCCTGTATGGAAGACAGAAGAAAATAAATTATATTCACCATCAGAAATCTGGGATATCCCTGGAGCTATCGTCGCACATCCCATCAAATTTCACTGGAACACATACCAGTCTTTTAGAAAGCTAAACATCCTTAATCCACAGGGTTTTATGGCTTGTACTGCTGAATTACTCAGGCTTACTCTAGCAATCTCATGTTGTTGGAATTATTATGCAGGAAAAGCCAATGAGGAAAAATATTCCTTTCTTTCATCCAGCTGCATTACTGCTGAACTTAAAAACAATAAGACAGGAACATTTTGCCAAAATATAGGAAGGTGAGCCATGTCCTTTCGGAGTTTAACCATTTCTCCGGACACACCACAGGGATATCTTGTTATAAGTGAAGACAGAAGGCTGCTTACAGGGAAAAGCTACTGTTTTTATTCCTTTCACACGAGATACACAAAAAAGAAGGTATGTGCTCAGGAAGTGAGGTTCTTAATCCCCTAATAATAGATGCAAATCAGAGAAATCTCATGGTCAGACCTAGACTCCAAGACAGGTTGAACAGTTTGGGGTAAAAATTGAGAAGGATCTGAACTACTGAAACAGCAATACTAGTATATGCTTCACTTAAAGCACATGACCTCTCAAATCCTTCTGAGATCTGTCAACCTTCTGCTCTATCTTTTTTACCAGAAGGGTGACTGATAACATGTAGGTTTTAATTAGGTCCAAAGTTATCCTGAACCATTTGTATATTTTCAAAATGCAACAGTCAGAAACCGCTGAAGTGCCAGTAAATTCAGGGCCCTTAAACAATGTTGTTTCCTTACATCATCCAAACTCTTGCATTACTTACTACCACTGGAATTTCAAATATGGCTGTAGAAAAGCAAAGTATTACATTAAATCGTTTAATTCATTTTTCCTTAGCATAGTAGGCCATGTTATATATTTTATTCCCTGCAACCCACAGAACTAAAAACGACTAAATAAAATAACAAAAAAGGGCTTTTATTTCCAAAAGGATCTTAATACATTAACTGTAAATGCACTGGCACTGCAAAGAACAAAAACACTACAGGCCATGTCTTTGATTAGCTGCTGAGAAAATGATTGGATGTTTTAAAAAAATCACACAACAGTCTGACCACATCCTGAATCAAGACAGTAAAATGCAGATCTTCACCCCAAAGTGGTGGGCGGGATATTACTTTAAGGAAATAGTTTTTCAAAATTGTTCACCATGCATACTTGCACCTCATTTCCTGTTCAGATCTTCTTATATAAATGTACCATGACTGCAGGTCACACACACGAGAAAAATAAAGCACTGGTCCCAGACAGCACATAGATATACTGTATGAAAGAATTACTTGGAGCAACATTTGATTTCTCCAGTAGGAAAATCTGTACTTGTGATAATAGCTTGTGAAAAAGCTATTATTCAGAACTGTAATTAAATTAACTAAATTTAATTTGGAAAATTCTAACAAAAATGCTTGTGAATATACACTCAAAGGTGACTGCACAGAAGAAGTTCTTAACCTGAGTTTAAATACTGCTGCCCCAAACTACCTCAAACTAAAACACTAGATCATGATCATCATGGAGGGCAAAATGTTGAGTCATTAAGAAAGTGCTGGGTCCTCAGTGCTGGAGAAATGGGTTTTGTTTTGTTTTTTGCTCTGAGATACTACTATATATGATAAGAGGAATAATTAATAAAAATAACTGCATTTTCAAATAGCATAACAAAACTAATTTAACTGCACAGAAAAAGTTGAAAATATTTAGCTCTCACTGCACTTGCCATAGATCTTTTTTGCATTAATAGATGCCCTACATTATACTGTTAGACGCTTTCAGAGAAAACATATAAGGCAAAAACTGTCACACTTCAACAAAAGCAGAGAGGAAGTGATGTTTGACGTGCAGCATTCTTGCCTTGTCTTGCAGAGGCTTGAGCTAGTTATGATCTTCTGCACAGGTCCTATTACTCTGCATTTGTTACAATGGCCTAATACTTACAGCCCTTTCTAAATAATACAGTCAAATAATACTGTAATAATACAGTCTAATTGGGGAAAAATATATATATTTAATGCTGGAAGAGCTATATCCACTTCATTTATTCATGAAGATGTACATATTTCATCTGAACTACTGTGGCAAGCCCACAATTTCAAAGGACTGGAAAGCGTGTGCCTCAGTGATCCTGAACTCAGACATCTCAGTATTATTCTGTGTGGTGCTGCTCAGAATCACATTGACGTTGCAGAAATGCTCAGACTACAACGCTTTCAAGCTATTGCCTATATGGGTCTCCGAGATGTGTTCTGACTCCACAATTGTCAGTGCCTTCTGCCGCATCTCCTCGCCTGCTCCACAAAAGGAGAGAGCGCCCCCTGCTGTACACTTAACCCACTGATTTGAAGATCACAGCAGAAAAGCTCAAGGTCAAAGAACCTCAGAGATGATCAACCTTATTAATCTTACTGACTACTAAAAGTAGCCTTGTAACTGCTATAAATGATGCATTATAGAAAATGTATATAGACTCTGTTGAGGAAGTATAATTGCTAAGTATTTTCCTTGCACTCCAATAAGGCAGTGTACAATCTGTATTTGGCATTTTATGAAAAGGTCACTTTGATGAGAAGTCAGAAACATAATGGAAGATATCAGAGCACTCACTTCACTTTTCATGCACCACACCTTTTCATCACACCACTGTAAAGAAAGTTTTTAATAGAAAATTAAAAAAAACCTTCCTACAGTATGCCAGGTATGAACTCCAAGCACGCACTCAATCAGTGGTTTTCCTTCATAGTTTCCTCACACAATAGGCATGCCCCTAAAACTGAAAGCCCTTAGAGAAACTGAACTGATACATACCATTCTCAGAATGGACCTGAAAAGACAATTAATCTTAACCAAAAGTATTTTTCCATCTTTCTTTCTCCTTTCTTACTCATTCATTAAATGATAAAGAGACTCCTCCGCACAAACTTGTTTCTTGGATGCCTTAAGTGGGCAGCCACTTGCCTACCCACTAAAATATTAATCGGCCAGCTCATTTTGTGTTCACAGATGGCTGATTCCTGCCATAGGCAACAAGTAATGAGCAAAACATGTGAGACTGGCACTTATTGAAAAAAAATATATGAAGATGATCTGATGTTTTTAATCAAGTTAATATTAAATGTAAAAAACACAACTTAACAGCAAGACTACAGCAATGCATGATGAGTAACTCAATCAGATATCCATGTTTTTTTGTTTTATTAAAAAAAACACACCTACACATTATTAATGTCTCTATACTCCTTGCTTAGGTCTCTGCTTGACAGCCATAGTATACCAAAAGGTTTTTCAGTGACATACACACATCCTGAACTTAAACAATAAAGGCCTTGATACTGTCACTCCATTGAATATATTCTGGCCTGCTTCCATTACACTGCTCCAGCATATATGGAAAAACTTTTAGACATTATGAAAGCAGATGTAGTCTAAGATTCATTAATAAAATTCAATGTAAAGAATAAGCTTTTGTATTCTTAAAGTGACATCCGTTTATTATCCATCTCTTCACAGAAGGATCTGTTAATGACAGTCCATTGGGAGTGTTGAATTTCATGAAGCCTATCAGTATTCAAACATTTATAAAACATAGTCAGTCTTATCACAAAGTTTATAAGGATTATTATACTTGACGGATCCCTTGAATAGATTTCGCTTTGATGTGTGTAGTGAAGCAAGAGACTACAAACAACCACAGTGAAAACATCTACAGGAAAGGGTGCCCTCAATTTTAAATAAGGAACATTTTACTTTTTAAGAATTGTTGCAGTAGCTGTTTCGATCATTTTTGCCTATTCATTAATCCAGAAAGACACTCCTGGTGTAAGGGCTGTGGTAAAAAAGGTATTTAATTGAATGAAGTGCAACAACATCCAACTGGTGTACTAGACACCAGCAGAAGTACCTTATTTTTCCAATCCTGCAATTTATCATTATGCAACACTCAGCAGGATAACAATAAACCAATATCTAAAAATCACAATATTACTCAAAACAAAAGGCCAAAACTGACAACTGTGAGAGAGAGAGACAGTGCTCCATGAAAAAGTACAAAGAGGAAGAAGAAAGCGCAGAAGTCTAGCATGCTGTAATTTATGATTTGACATTGTCTGCGCTAATACAGTATTTCCCTGGAAAAAGTCAGCCATCCTACGACACTTCATTTCTCAACAAATGTAATAAAGAGCAGGGCAATTCCTACAGCAAGTAAACCGAGAAAGAAGTATTTACCACAGACTGCTGCTTTCAACAAAAAGAGAACTGAAGAACTAATCAAAACAACTGACTGCAAATCTGTCGCTACTGGCAACTCCACTGATGTGAAAATGTATGTCATATAGTAAACTTTTACATTTTGTTAGTTTTACTAGGACAATCAAATCATTGTATACTGACAGTTATTCTGACAAGTCCAGTTTAACTATACTCCACAAATAACTCCTTGATGGCACAGAGCACACTGAAATGTTTACTCATCTGACGTGGATTTCCAAAATTACACTTGCAGTGTTGCTGCAGAAAAAAAAAATGCAAACTTTAATCCAGAATAATTATATAAAAAACAAGTTTCACAAAAGAAGTTCGCAAATTTTCAAGAAATTAGACCAAGGGTGCAGTTTGGATGATGAAGACAAATCCGAAGTGGACAAACACAACCACTATAGAAACAGAACACGGCAGTTGAATTGGTCTGATGCTGGAGTGAAGCTGAAATTTTATTTCTCATTTTAACCATATAAGAATAAATAACAATTGCCAGGTGTTACCAAGTGTGTCTCCATATGGGCAGAATCTCAAAGCAGCAACATTAAAGAACAATAGGAAAATACATTTAACAATATTTAAATTTAACAGCCAGACATACAGTACCACACTGGACACTATTTCACTGAAGTGAAGGCTCAGTGTCTAATCTTTTGTTTTGCTTTAAACTGTTTTGATATATGCTACAGCATCTTAATTATGTCACTGTACTCATTTTCAAATCTGAATACAGTACTTCATATATTATATGTATACTTCATGTATTTGCAAACAAGGCAAACAAGATTGTTCTGTTGATAAATTATATATTTCCCTGATGACTATTTTTATTTATTACTGCATCAACTGTTAGCTGCTGAAGAAAATGTTTGATTAAATGTCATACACATTACTGTTCATCTATATGCTTTAAGTGAATAGTTTGGAATAACTAAATGACCAAGATGATTAAGGCACTGCAATGGGATGCATGTTTAATAAGCGCCTTCAAGCTATACCTACAGTAACTTTTTGTGCAGGAGGATTGAAATACAAGTTAAAAAATTAGTCAAAAAAAACTCCAGGCCCTACTGTGCTGATACAAAATCTGACCCCACACATCTCTCACCCAAAACACAGAACAAGCATGGCAGCTTCTTCTCCTTCCCAAACTGGGATATTTCTTGCATTCGTGAACACGACTGAAGTGGTCTAGACTACAGATCACGTGTGTTCTCAAGCATTTTCCTTCGAAATCAGCAATGATTACCTTCACGTCAGGTAAGATCACAAGCTTTCATGAACAAACATCCACTGATTAAATGAAAAGGGACTTTTCCTATGTGTTGGCACATTCACCATCTGAGAAGGCCAGTGTTATTTAGCTTCTGAACTTGGCTGTTTTTCCTCTCAGTTATGCCTACTCTCATCCTCAAGAGGTGCTCCGTTGCCCACTTACTGTAGCGCTGCTTTCTGCAATGAAGAACAGCTCTGTGAGCGCGCGGTGCAGAGGCAGCAGGACACTAATACTGGTGGGGTCCTGGCTCAAGCCGCTCTCCATGGTGCTGAAGAGCTGCCACAGTGGCCTCAGCAGAGTCAGGTCACAGCCACTACAAACAAAGAATGACAAAGCCTCCTATCAAATCAAATCCAAACACTTGGAAAATATGTAAATACTGCTAGGAAAATTACTTCATCTTCTTTGCAAGCACGTGCATCAGTATTTGCTTCCGTGCACCAGCGAGCTCTGTATGCAAATCCTGAGAGAATTAGTTTGCATGGCAACCACTGCTCCTTGCTTTTAATGGTAATCCCACTGTAGGATATTAATAAAGTTCTGTGTCTTGAGGCACGTATGTTCAGTATTTCCATTCTGTATGAGTTTTAGAATTTGCAGTGATCTGGGTAAAAACAACAACAAATGCAGCACTGCTAACCCCAGAATGAAATATGGAATTAAATTATCAACAGATAACATCTCAGGATTATCTATTGAACAGTACAGTTACAACTAGATATGAAAACTGTACAGTGATTAAAATGGAAAAAAAAATAATGGAAAGTTCAAGGTGCACATTATTTCTTAAGAGCAAGCATTGCGATTCACACGTTCAACAAACTCAATCTTTAGCTACATTTCAGAACCTGTGAAAGAGCCAAAGGATTTCTCACTTTATCTACGTTGATTTTTGACTTTCAATGATCTCCTGATTTAAAGATAATTTGATAATTTGTTATGTAACACAGAAGCACTGGAAGACTTTTACCTGTTGGAGCTGCAGTGAAGAATCCTCAACAATAAATGAATGGCTTTGAGGCGTTGATTTCCGGTCTGTCGGCAGGCCACGCCCACCTGCCACTCCCAGATGTCGGCCAATGGCAGATCCAGAAGGGTTTGCTCGTCCGCCAACATCTGCTTCAAGATCTCAAACCCTAAAGACGGTAAATTCCCCACTTGCATTATGGATGAGCGGGCATTTGGAAAATTTATATTCCATTATCATTTCATCCAGTAGCTGAATTTTCACAAAACTAATTTAAAAAAATACATAGTATGTGTGGTTGTTGCATATAAATTCTCTGCATGAACAGAGGTCGTTGGGAAAAATCTTATTACTTTTGTCTGGTTTTCCTTCCTCCCCCCCACCCATTTGTGGATTTGCTGTGTCATATTCCTTTTCTTTATTTTGACCTGAAGCTCAGACTTTAATAATTTACTTATATGCTAAATTCCTAGGCATACACTTAAAAAAGCTGGCATACAGTTTCGAGTATGATGACATCTCCAAAGCACTAGCTGGAGAAGGTTTAGTGAATGTGACCTCAGGCACCAGAGTAGAAGGCTTCTTTCTACACATTCATAAAAATGTTCCTGTAGGCTGAGCTATTTAAATGTGTAGTATTAAATATTTATAGCTACTCATCATGTTTTACCACAATTATTTTTAAAGACTAAAAGACAAAAGTAATTCAACAAAATGTTTTCTGGCCTGAACCCTAAATAAGAAAAGAGAGAAATCTGACAGGTCATCACACAAATGAAAGATGAGTAATTTGAGATAATGACTTGAGATTGTGTTGAAATAACTATAAAAGGTTTTGTCAAATTGTGATTCCCATCTGTCATAATTCAATTTGCTACATGAAACTGGTATCCCAAGAATATACCTCAGCTTTTCCGTAGTAGAATAACAACCTCATAAATGCTTTGATATTTCCAGCATGTACAGTGGCTAGTAGATAAAATCTTGATTCGTTTCAATAAAAAAAATCGAGGATGGAAAAACAGGACCGTAAACTGTTCCATTGTCATGCAATAAAGCAAGCAGAAGAAGTAACCAATCAATCTCGTCTATGCATTTTCAAAAGTAAATTAATTTTAGATATAGATACAATTTGACAGATTATATTACTATTCTAGCAACATAGTAGATTATTATATCACTGTAGATTAGATATGTAACCATATGCAACTTGATAACTATTAACATGAAAACACCTTTGTACCACCAGTTTGCTAGAGACAGCAAACTGTCATTTACCATCTGGGGTCTTTCACAGCGGCGATTTCTTACCAGGCAAGATGTTATATCTGTCAAGCACAGTCTGTCAATAATATATCTGCCATGATCTGGGAGATCACAGAGTTGCAACACTTGCCAGAATGAGGCCGTCTGGGTAGGAGAGTCTAGGTGCCCTCCATTTATTTTGAGGGAAAAAATAGCACCACCAAAACTTGTAGATACTGCTGTGTTATATATTACTGTGTGACTGCTAATTGGTTAGGCTCTAATTTCACAAATTGGAGCAGGAAAAGTGGAAAACTTGAGCCACTTATAGTTCACATCACTTCATTCCCAAAACTTGGAGAAACTCAGCCTCAAAGTAAACTTTAAATGTTTTTAGTTCTTGTAAAGAACACAAAGACTTAATTTCTCAACTGTCATTATTTGTTAAGATTCCTAGTCTCCGTTTCATTTTTTGCCATGTTTCCACTTAAAAACTCACAATAATCTCTCAAAAACCAACCTCAGCAACATGGCTATTTTACATAGTGTCAAAAGGGATTTACTTATACGTTTATTTTTGATTGCTTCAGTATAATCATCCCTGTTGAAATGATGCAGGTTCTTCCGAAAGTAATTTCCCTGCTCTCTTGAAAGGAGCAGACCATTTGTTAGTCATTTCTTCAGTGAAGAAATACAAACTGCAGCCGCTGTCTGGATTCTATTAAATGTAGAAATCCTCAAGATTCCCATGCTTTTCTGGAAAATGTCATACTGCATGTTCTCGCACAGTGCAATCAAGAAGCGCTAGAATAGCTGTTGAAGTAGACAGTAAAGGGTTGTAGTTATTTTCCCATGTCAAAAGGGAACCGTGAGTGCTGCTCAGTGGAGCACAGTGCTGGAGTACAAGCAGGAATGAAGAACTACACAGGCCCCGACGGAAATCGGAATGAAGGGCTGGATGCTTGGGATGCATGGAGAATCGGAAACAAAGAAGCGAGAGGGAGACCACCAGTGGCCGAGACCACAGGGCAGATGGCAGAAGTAAGACCAGTGTGGTTTGGACTTGGGGAAAAAAAGCGAAGAAAACGGTGTGGGGCAGAACTTACAGGAAGCGAGCAGGGGTGGGACAAATCCGAGAGGAATAAACAGAAGAGGTGGCGTGATGCAGTAAGGAGAGTGGCACAGGACTCTTTGTGCCATCGGGGGGAAAAAAAAAAAAAAAAGTTTCCAGGACCTTGGGCCCTACACGGCAAAAACACACAAGAGCAGAAGGTGTTTTACCTGTCTGGAATCTGCCTCTGTGGCCTCCAGTAACTGTAAACTTGTATCCCCATTCTGTGTTGCTCATGTCAGAGATGAACCTATAGTACAAGGTATCCCCTGCAGAAATACCCATAAAAATATGTTAGGCTATTTGCGAATATTTTTTTAAGTATGTATCTCACTGGTATAATTGAGCTGGTAGTTATACTCAGAACTTTCTGAGTATTCTCAGAAAACATGTGATGTTGTAATAAAAGCTCCAAAAAGTTTCTGGTGAACTCATATTGCAAATCATGGATAAACAAGTCATCAAATCAGATTCAAAAGAGTCATAATACATGGGTAGAAATATGTCAATGACCAGTACAAGAAAGGCTTTCAACACGCTGCAATAGATATCTCGTGTGCAAAAATGACTGCTCACAAATCCAATTTGCAGAAATTTACATTTTTGAAGAAAAAAAAACAGGAAAATCACTGCAAAGAGCAACAAAGATAAAAAATGCAATAAAGATGAAGAGCCTTGCTGCTGGTAACGCCTTCTAAGCAGCAGAATTTATGACACGCAACTTAAAAAGGTTATGAAAATTGAATGTGAATGCAAGTAGCAATTTAATGCTGTTCATCTCTTCTAAACAGATTTAATATTTAAACTGTTACAAAGTAAACAGAGTGAGAAAATGACTGTATATATCTTCTGGCCCTCCTGTCCATACAGACACATACAGTATACTACTGATACACTTCCAGTGCATTCTCACTATGTTTTATTATATTCTCAAGACAACATATTTTGCATAATATATACCATGCTTCTGAACTTTTTTTTTAAAACCACATTAAACATACGAAAATGAATATTACCTGGAATTTCAAAATCCGTCCACTTCTGCGGTGAGCCACTGAAGTTGTGGTGGTCCTGGAGGAAATCGCTGCTGCTGGACATGAGCAGCTCGTCGCAGCCTTCCTCAGTGTGGCAGCGGGAATCAAACTTAATGGACAGGTAAATGGCACCAGGGATATGGACCTTGTCCTAGTAACAGAAAAAAACCCAGAAAGCAATTACTGACTTCTGTAGTCATTGGAAGGCTTTATCGCAGCAACAGAAAAGAACAAATTAAGACTTCAGATTCATTCAGACCCACTTTTGTTTGTTAAAGGCTTCAACAATGGAGACCCACGATTAAATGAGAAGCTAGTAATCTGAAGTGGGGCAGATGGGTAAAGCTTATAATGCAATCTAGTCCAAAACTTGTTTTAAGAACCACAACCTAATCATCACTATGGCTTAACAACTTGTTTTGTAATACGGCCTCATTACATCAAAAAGGCCATCTTTAAAAGACGCTTAAATAATTGAATTAACATACATGGATCTGTGATTTGCTCCATGGCTCTTATTCCTGATCAAATTGACTAAAAAATTCCTCACGTTGGATACTTATAGTTGACAGAAGAACAGAAAACTACGAAGTCCAAGATAATATTAACCCAGAAGTCATAGGCTGATGCTGGTTAGGAAGACTGAATATTGTTTTTGTGAAAAAAACTAACGATCTGTAATTTGATCATAAACTTGGTTAGGCATACACAATTGATATTTCTAAGAAGACAGAAAACCGATACTTTAGATCTGTTGAGCTGTCTAGCGTGGCAGGCTTTCAAACCCAGAAAAAACACATTTGGAGTCCCTACCTCAAAGTTGGTGTTGTTGTCGTAAGGGTGCTTGGATTCCCTGACCTGCACTGCCATCCCTGGCTCTTCCATGAACTGACAGGCCGTGAGGGACAGGCTTCCCAGCATGTTCTTGCTACAGCCCTTGAGAACTTTCTGCAGAATCTGAACACAAATTTAAATCTTCTTACTTGTGCACATCATGAAGAGACAAAAAAGGCATTTTTTCCCCCCCAGCAAACAGGTTTTATGTCTTTGTCTCTCCCCCCCCACCCCCATTTAGAAATTCCAGTGATAAGCTATGTAGCTTTAAAATGCATTCGACAATTTTTCCTCCCAATCCCAGAAGACTTTAAAAATGCTAATGTTTAAGAGTCAGGTGCTTCTGTCAGTTTCAGACTTGCTCACCTTCTCCCACATCTGCTTCTCCTCCAGCTGCATCAGCATGTCCAGAATGTAGGCCATGTGGGAGGCCCCGCTGAGCTCCAGCACTTCTTCGCTCATGGCTACCCCTTCCGGCCACTCTGCCAGCAGGGAGGCCAGCACGTGCCGGGCATAAAGGATGGCGATGGCTTCATTGACCTTGAACAGGTACTGCCGCACCGACTTATTGCTGCGGGCATCCAGCTCCTTGTGCAGCAAGGCTGAGCTCTTGGTGCGTCGCTGCTTGGCATAGCTCATCTGCAGGTCGCTCTCCGTGTTGGTGATCAGCTTCTGGGTGACCATGTTGGTCTCCTCTGTGGCCTTCTCACAGCGGCTGGGTTTGGACTGTTTGGAGGAAGAGGGAGCTTCCTGACTGATTCTGATTTTCTCAACCTGGAATCACTTTGCTAGTCTTAACATTTTGCAGAAATAAATGTCAGTGAAAAACACCCACATGCAATCCTTGAAGATGTTTTTTTCTAAATGAAAGTGCAACTGCATGCTTCTATGTAAAATAAATCAAATCACATTCACCCCATGTAATTTACTAAAGACTTAAATGACATCTAAGTTTTAATCTTCAAAAACGTATATTATAGGTTCCTGGTAACTTGCACTACTTCTTGATATTCTTACTCCATTAATAATCCAATTGTCCATTTAAAAACCTGGACTGTCAAATGAGAATTACTCTCAAATGCCCACCCTAGCTAGAAACAATGAACCGACACCGGCAAAGTGCATTTCATGTGCGCACTTACTACACATGGCATAACAATCATGTCAGTGTCCACTGCCTTGGCGCTCCTCTCCCCTGAACGTGTCCTCTTGGCAGGCTGCCACTTCTGTGCCAGCGTGCGGATTGTCTCATCTGTCTTTATCATGTCGCCGTCGAACCTTGAGTAAAAAAAAAAAGGAAAATTAAAATTGGGGGAAAAAAAATTAAATCATGCATGCCTAGAAGACATATATGATAGCTGCTGGTATATTAATAGGAGTCCATATTCTTTGGTGCTTATCAATATTTGTTTAATTAGCTAATGGCGAATTATGTCAACCAACAAGCTCCCTTTTCACCATATTGGATCACTTACCTCTTCTGCACCTCCAGGAAGAAGGAGTCTGTTCTCTTCATCTGCAGCTCATACATGGCACGCAGAATATGTAGGGGGGCATTGAGGGCATCATGAGTTATCTATATCAGACAGGGGAAGGCACCTTAGGAGTCACATTTTATGTCATAAGAACATAATTATACTATGAAATGATTTAGTACTTTACTCAATTTTCTTTCAATGTAAAGTTTTGCATATCACAGTTCATAGGAACAGACATTACACACTGCCAGGTCTGAAATGTTTTTCTCTACAGAAAGTTAAGTCATAGAGCAGATTAATTTTTGGTGTGCAAGAGAATCTTTTTAGCCAGGAAGTAAAGGGCCGAATGCAGGCTATACAAGCCTTCCGCTTTCTCAGACCTGGAAACAAATCTTCGTCTCCTCATCCAGGCCCTCCAGGGGGTCTGGTTTGTTCGGGTCCAGGTCATCTGCACAACAGCTGGAGTGATCAGAGTCCGGCTCCTTCTCCTGTTCCCTGTCCTCGTTCTCGGTGTCTGTGTCCTCAGCCATCGAGTTGATTTCCTTCTTGGAGGAGTACAGCATTATAGACAAGATCTGAAAGCAACAACAACAACAATAAAAACTGTTAAAACGACCGGCTTCTCTTATTACACAGAAAATGTGCAAACCATTACAGACTCATTTCACCAGTCTAAGGAGTCTCAAGTCTTACCTCAAGATCCCGAAGGAGCCACATCTTGCTGAATCCAGTTCCCTTGCTGCACTTTCTCACCAGTAGTTTTATTAGCCCTGACTGTTGAATAGCTGCCTGTGCCTCTTCAACACCGTGTTTCTGTAATCAGAGCATAAAAACCCTAAAATGTTACACTGAAACTGCAAAAGAAAATGGTTTTGAGATGAAGGCAGTAACATGTTTTCACTCCTATGAACCTGCACTGAATAAAACTGTAGCCAGCAATAATATGACCGCCTAACAAGTGTCTTATTAGTTCAGAACAAAGAAAATGTGAAAATCAGCTCTACTTTCTACATTTTAATACAAGCCTATTAAAGGTAGACCAATTCTCTCTGCTCTGGTTAAGAATTAAGATTGACTAATATAATGATGACACAATGAAAATGCAAATCTAAGATTAACATGGCCAAACAATATTGAGGTCCAACAGAACATATCTGTGGAACCAATCTGCCAATGTCAAACAGGAAACAACCATAAAAGGCCAACCTTTGCCTGCTGACCCCTCTGAACAGTGATGTAACATCCCTTACCAGTGTATATTAAAATTGATAAATACACCTGATCAACATTTCTTGGACTGGGTAAATGCTCAATAAGGCCAAACCTAATAATACTGAATACAGTATTGCAAATGTATTTCATACTATGAACTCACTTATGATTCTTTAATTTGTATTTTTCTGCTCATATTCTGTAATTGTTTGATATCTATGGTTGAAACACTTGGTTAAAGTGTTCCATTTAATCAAGTTACCTTCAGAATGTTGTAAAGGCCTTTAAGAGCAAGAGATAAGACCCATGTGGCCTCTACAGCCTCACTGGAGCTGCACTCCAGGTTGTTCTGCAGCAGGTGACTGATGATCATGATGAAGCTATGGAGGTAGCGGCTGAGATGAGACTGAGGTGGAGCCTGCTTCCTGGCATGAGTCTCAGGGGTGCAACCGTATTCATGAGGCTGTACCAGCTGATAATCTTTCACTGAAGAGGAAACAAAAAAAAAAAAACATAGAAATAAGTAAAGCTTTATTCCACGCTGAAAAGAAAAGAGACATTTCGAATGTGGAGCCTTCTTCACGCGTGAAGATGCAGTCTTGCTAAAAGAAAAAGGATTCAGCCTGACCTGTCCTTCTCTTGCGGGTTTTGACATCCACCACAGCTGCCCGGTTCTTCTCTGTAAAGTGCTTCAGTAAGATCATATTGTGCTGCTCGTTGGCATTATCAATGAAAATTGAGTGTGTTCCCATACACAAAACCTGTGTACCAAAAAATCAGAAACGAAAAGAACATCAAAACTTGTCTTAGTAGTACTTATCATTTATGCTTACAAAAAAAATTAATTTTCTATATAACATTTAAATAAAGACTACCTACAGACATTGATGCTCCCAGAATATCAAGTCTTAAAGCACTAAACGCCATTTGTATGGGATTCCACTGCTTACTGGATTAGGCTTTGGCATCCCTAGATACAGTGGTTAGAAAACAGCTGGATGAATGGATGGATGGACTTACCTCTGGGAAACCGACAAGCACAAGAAGAGTGAAGAGGTTTGTGCGTTTGAGCTGCAGAGGCAGCTGTTTGACACAGTGATTGGTGAAGGCCGCAATGACATCGCACCACTTAGCGCAAGCATTAAGATCCTGCAGAATATCTGCAACGGAGCAAGCCCAGTCCAGACCAATTCGGCTAAAATGTGACAACAAAAAATAATTAAAAACTTCAGAAGAAATTAGAAACGCCTTCATTAGACTCCATTTAAATTAATTGGGAGTGGAAAAAAAATGTTGATCTCATCACCACTCTGGGGTGTGACCCTTTTCAGTTCCCCCGACCGTAAATCTAACCTGTCCAGACACACGGCCCCCAGGCTGAAAAGAAGCTGTGTGGTCTTCCAGCCATCAGCATGTGGAGCACCATCTCCCTGAGCCAGCAGCACAAACTTGTCCTCCAGGGCTTCGGTAACGGCGGCATCGGAGTCGGCTGGGGAAATCCGGAGCAGCAGCTGACCGAGGAGCCCCAGGGTCAGGTGGTAGGTCTCGTTGAGGCATCCTGCATTGGAGATCACCACCCGGAACAGCAGTGGTAGGATCGGCCTCAGATTGAACAGTGACATGGTGCAGCCCTACATATAAGGAAGATCATAATTAGAATGAGAAAAATTGATTTTAACAAATGATTTTATATAGATGATAACAAAAAAAAGTTACCCCACAAAGCATTGCTCTTTATACACTTCTGGAAAAAGACTGGATCTCTATTTTTATTTTTACCAGAACAGTACAATAACGTTTACTGTATACAAATGGTTTCCCAGGAAAATAAAGCAGTTAGACATGAGGTAAACAAAATGGGAATTGGATTTGCTTGGACACTTGAGAAAAAATAAGGCAGCACAATGCCTGGTGTAAAGAGCTGCAGATTCCCTAATGATAGAAGGCACATACTGGTTTAGCTGGAGGCAGCATAGCAGCCAGCAATCCCAGAATCCGCTCTCGGGAGCACTCTGCAAACACATGCTCTTGGAGTGGAACCCTGGCCGTCTTCTCGTCCTGCTCTTTGGAAACCTCATGCGAGTCCAGTACGGGTGTGGTTGCTGTCTCTGCACTGCATTCAGAGCCTAAGGGAAATCATGAGAGGTCATCGCCGACTTCATGAAACAGCATACAGTACGACACAAATGAGAGACGACCGAGTCAGGGCACCTTCAGTCACATGCTAAACTGGAGTAACTTAAAATATTTTTTTTGTTCCGAGGACCAGTGGACTAAACAATCAAAATACAAGGGAACCGAGTACTGTTGTATCTCTACTACCACATCTCTGCTCATTTCTAACCATTTCCCTGCGATACAGAAAACAGCAGTTCCATACCTCTGATGACCGGGGACAGGGTATCCTCGCTGGATACAGAGGGTGTCTGGCTGAAGCTAGCGGAATCCAGTGTGTCTTGTGACAAGAGTCTCTTTTTCTTGCCCTCTGCGTCATTAGAAGTCTCAAGTCCGGATGCTTCTTTGGGAACAGGATTTAGCTCTCCATCCTGGGAGTGGTCCTTGTTCTTGCAGAAGAAATCACGTATGAAGATTTAAATGGTTTAAGCTGGAAGGACTGTCTTTACGAGAGCACTAGTTTGTCTTTTAAAATATTATTTTGCAATGTGTCTCTAATATTTATGGTCACTTGAAATCATTGGACTAAACATAATATATTTGCTTTTGTTCTAAAATAAATCAAATGTAGGCAATTTAATACTTTATCCTAATGTTGTACGTATCATATTAATACCATGATCACAAAAACAATGACTCAAGTCTTTTCTTGAAAATGTGCTGGTAAGCTCTTGAGTCTCCTAGGTAATATCTGCAAAATCTGAGCAACAAATCTCCTGTACCGTACATCAAGAAAAATCTAAGGCCACTTGTACCTTGTCCCGGGAAGGTAGTGGAGAGCACACTGCAGCAGTGCTGCCAGGCAGGGAGGAGGAATCCGTAGTGCTCAGCTCCTGGCTGGACTCTGTGCTGACAGGGCAAAGCTCGCTCTCGGAAGCCGAATCATTGGGCGACAACAACGAGAGGAGAGCCGATGCTCTCAGGCCTGTAACGCAAGAGTTCACAGCTCAGGCCTATTGTCCATTTGTTTCAGATACAACAAATAAGAAAGCAGGGCTTTCCATCATTTACAAAATGGTGTCATCGAAGTGAAAATCACAGACGCATACATATTGTACTGCTGGAATAAGCTGAAGTTAGGAACTCTTTTCAAGTTTACTCTAGTTGTGACAAAAAAGGCTAAAGTTCTTTAAAACTGACATTTGTTTCAGAAAAAAGGCAACTGCATATTGATCAGTCCTCTAAATTTACATTCTCCTTTTAAAAGCAGAGGGCCAGATCTCTTATAGACTGCACAAGAGCAACTGTAGGCAAACTCTGAGAATGATTATCAACTCCATTTAAGGACAAATGTTAAACAGAGGGATCTGCTGTGAAAATCATAGGGTATTGTCACTGATGTAAGCGAAGTTGTACGTATGGGATACGTTCCTTTGCAGCCTATGCATGCTCACGCAGTTACACACCGAAAAGCATAAAGAGGCCAATAAGAGACCACTAAGTCATGCTCAGTATTGACAGTAACAATAAGAGTAAAAGCAAATCACCTTTGCCAGTCTGTCCTTTGAGCAGGCAGTCTGCAATGAGCTCAGAGCAGCGGGTCTGCAGAGCTGTGGCTCTAGCAAGAGTTTGGGAGTCCAGAGCTTCTCCCTCCATCTCTTGCTCGCTGGTGAGGTCTGAGGTGTAAAGAGCCAGAGCGGCAAACAGCAGCCAGGAGTAGTTATGGATATAGGGCTGAATGAGCCTGTGACGATCACTGATCCGGATAGTCACCATGGGATAGACGGTGATGCGGTGGGTTGGCAAATGGCTATAACAGTGGGTGCACAATCAAAAAGAGAGTAAAAATGTCAAGTTCAAAACGAAAACTTTGGCATAGGAACCAGGCAAGCGAGAAGCATGTCCAGCTTACCTGTCGGGGTATTTCTTTGCATTGTAACAACCGTAGCAAAGATCGAAATCTTCACACACATTGCAGTTGATTCTGCTGCCGACGATCAGCCCCTGGCAGTGGTCACAGGCGTACTCCATATTGACCATCTCATGGTCATCCTCGTGACCCTCAGGTTTAGCCCCACCTGTATTTGTGCAAAAAAAAAAACACCATGAAACACCCTTTAATCAACATCCGTTTCAGAATCTACCATCACTCGGTCATCTAAAGCAGGGGCTACCAGACCTCATCCTCGACGTTCCCACCTGGGCTCGGAGTTATTCTTACCCAGCTCTGCGATATAAATCGAGCTAATATTGTTAATCACTTGAACATTTCAGTTAATTACAGCTATGAAATACTCAAAATGGAATACTTAAACTTGAAATCTCTAAATATTGAGCAACTTACTGTTTCAGTATAGTTCAATAATTATTTAATTACGTAACTAACAGGTTGAGTGGAATGAAAACCAACGCCCATGGGCGTCCTGAAGATGGCACATGGAATCCCCGATATACGACCATTACTGTGCTTCCTTTAGGACATCGAAAGCCCCCGAAAGGACTGTTTAGAAAAGCTTTGGGTTTAATTTAAAAACATGCTGCAAGTCAATGCTTAACTTAATGAACAATAAACCAAAACCATGTTAATTCCCCCCATAATGTAAATAGAACTTACTTAAGAAGCATGTTTTGCACAGGTCCATGTCGGTACACTGCAGGCAGCGATATCGGTGCCAGGGTGCGATCCTCTCACAGCCATCACAAGAGATTTCCACATTTAACAGGTCACAATATCGAGCAATGAACATGTGCATCTGGACAGGAGCAACCAGAAAGATGTACGTGTTCACCATAGCATTAATGAACCAACACCTAGCTGCTTCAACCTGCTTTGTGTTTCAGATAAACCTCTAAATCAACAAATAAGTTCTTTGTACAGTACCTACCACAAAACTGTGGCGTGTTGAATTCTACCTCTCAAAAAAAGCAAACAATTATGTTCGGTTACACTTCTATCCTCTATCATCCATCAATCTTTGTAACTGCTTGATCTAAAATAGGGTTGCATGGATCCTATCCTGGTAAGCAATGGTCACAGGGAGGTAAAAGCCCTGGATGGACAGGAACAAGTTAAAAGGGACTAAATCTCTTCTGTCTAGAACAAAAGGAGATTGAGAGAAGATTTGGCAGAAGTATAATGGTTTATCTAGGGGAAGGTTTCAAACTTTGTAGCAAAATAAGTACATAGGATCACAACCGCAACCTAAAAGAGAATTCATTTATGACCTAGAATATGAATACATGACTTCTTAAAACAAAGCCGAGGTGTGGGTAACTGTCAGTATTATTGTGTTCCAGTTTACAAAGATGTTTGTGGAGCATTTGTAGCAGTGTGAGTGGCAGTCTAAAGCCTTGAATGTGTGGAATTCCCACATTTAACCACATTATTCCCGCGAGAGCGAATGAATTGCCCGGTCCCACCTTTCTCCTGTCTTCAGGAGTTCCCTGAGCAATCTTGTCGTACCACCGCTCAAACATCCCGTCCTGGCACTCATCCATCCACTCGCAGTTCCTCTCGTAGTCCGCGATCTCATCCTCCTCTGTCCACTGACTGCACATCGGAGGACAGGGCTGGTTAACTTCATCAAGCATGGTTATTTAGGGTGATTTTTATAGCCTAAACTTTTCTATTTTCTTGGCTTTGCTACCCATTTTAATAGAGAAAATCTCAACCAAGACAGACGGTCTGCCTAACCCTCCCTGGTCAGTATACGTCCTGGATTTCAGCGGTAGTGAAAACCACTTTGCAGTGCAGTTCATACACCACTACCTTTATTTTGAACCTCAAGGGTAGCTTGTAAAAAAGAATAGAATTGGATTGTGCTGTAAATATTTCCATACTTTGCAGAATACGTGCTACTTCCTGTTAAAAGTGCTCTTACTACTTACAGAGGCCAAGCATGTTATTTACTGAGGGGTCCTAATATTTTAGCCAGTGCTAGACATGAGCTCAAATGTTCACCAACAGTCGGACCATAAAAAATCCTAATGATTCAATCTTATTAAGATTATATAGGAGGTGTCTGTGCTACCTGATGGCAATGTCATGAACACTAATGTTCTCCTGAGACATGGTCAGAAGGAGGTCCGGCAGTTTAATTTCCTGGAACAAGGAAAGATCTTGCACTTCCCAGCACATATCCAGCAGATGAAGCAAGCAGGTCTGCACACAAGACAGAGCAGGGAGCAGAGACCTGGGAAAGGAAAAATCAGTGACGTCACAGCTCCATAACAGAGTGGCTTATGTTAACTTCAAAAATGGATACAAATCTATTCATGGAAAAAAAGGTGGCTTTCCACTTTAAATGGTATCGGTAACAACATAAACTCTACCTCTTGAGAATCCAAGGCTTACTTTACATGTCATTACTGCAGTGATATCTTTTGATTTTAAAATGATGCTAAGTCTTCATCTTAACCACTAATCCTAACTTGTACATAAATATTTTTTAAACACTCCTATCTATTCCTACTCCAGCTTTGTACTACCTCAAAGCATTCCCATAAGACACACTGATGTTTCTAAAGGAACATGCTGCTTTCTAAACCTCGTTTAAAAAAAAATCTCACTTGTCATCAAGGATGCTGAAGCCCTGCACTGCATCCACCAATATCAGGACCAGGTCATGGTAGGACTGGCGTACTTCATCTCGCAACCTGTGCCCACTGCCAGCCAACTGGGCAAAGTAACTGCACAGACAGAGATCACAGCTATGACACATGCAACAGATCAGTTTGTCATTATTACAGCTTTAACACATGTCCCTTTCTATATGCAAGCTGACCCACAGCACATTTCTCAATAACTTTACAGAAAAATTATGTAAAGACTCTTGCAGAATTTTCAGTGACCTGTTCTACAAATCGCACTTCATTGCATCTTCCCCTAAAAATGTATTTTTCTGTGACGACTGCTTTTCACACTGTGGGGAAAAATCCCACCCACCTTGTAAAATCCTTCTGACAGGCCAGCATCTCCTGCAGGAAGAGGATACAGGGGGCCTGGAAGAGGTGAGGATCCCCCAGTGACCCAAAACACTGGCACACGGTCTTCAGCACCTCCGACACACTCCGTGCCTGGGTCATCTTCAGAGTAAGGACCTGCAAGACACTGGGCAGAGCAAGAGAAAGGAGAACTGTACTTAGTGGGCTAACACTGCTATGCAAACTTTTAAAAGCACCCAACATCTATAAGCTGCCGTGAAGTGTATCTGCTGAAAGACCGTCTTACTGTGTCTCACTGATGGCTTGGTCCTTTATGAAGTCCATGATGTGCTTCAAGAGGGGATACTTCTCCTTAACAGAAGGGACAATTCTGGGCTCCTCCATGGACCTGAAGGACAGAAGGCGCAGGCGGCCCTTGCTGAAAGGGGCCTTTCGAGTCGGAGTGGAAGGAGAGGCAGGCTCGCCACCCTGAAGAGGAAGGCTCTCCGCGGACCCTTTGTTGGGGACCGCAGCTGCGGAATCGCTTGCATCCGAAGACAAGGCACCCCCGAGCTTCTCCTGTGCCATTCCGGCGGCTGGGCGGCTTGGCTCCGAGACCAAGGCATCCTCTGGGGCGTCGGCCTGCGACGCAGAAGGGGCACTGGCCTGGAAATCTCCCTCAGAAATGGACACTGATCTCTGCAGTAACAGAGGAGCCCTCCCTGCGCCTCCTGCCTCCCTCCTATGCTCCCCGTCGTGCGTCTGAGCTCCACCGGGGCTGAATTTAAAAAGCAGCAGGCTTTTCTCGATGCAGATTTCCGCTGCAAAGATACAACAAAAAGCAATGAGGATGGATGATATGAGAAGAATAAAGCTCTGCAAAGTGCCAAGCCTTGCTTTACTCACAAACTGGACATAGACTTTTAAAAATATAAGTATGAATTACTGCTAAGTCCAGGAATGAAAACATCCTCTTGATATTGCTTACCAAGAGATTCCATATTGACTTCACAGAGATCCTCGTCTTTCTCATCAGCCTGACTCATTTTTCCCACCAGGTATCTTTGTTTCATTTCAAGCTGCAGGCGGACAACAGCAGATATGAGTATCCAGCATTTTTAATAGACATAATTAATATTTTTTACTTCTTAAGATATGAATATGACATTTTACTAGTGTTTACGAAACAAAGGAGGTTTACTGAAAGTGGGCTTGTCATGAATCAAAGCTTATACTCAATAATTTAATTAAAAATAAGGAAATAAGTGAAAATATTTATTGATTATTCCAACTCACCATCCAGGTTCTTATCCCCTCAGCTAGTGCATACACCTGGACAAACTCTTCACTTAGCACAGCCTGACCCCCTTGGGAAACTGCCAGCAAGAAAAAATGAATGCTTAGGTACAGCAATATACCCCTCCATTATGCTCTAGCTGAAGCTGTAGAGAAAAGGTTGAAGCTGCTGGTATATAATCTAATAAAGGTCACAATGAGAGGGGGCCATTCAGTCCAACCAGCTTGTTTGGTAAATGTATATTTATAAACACATGATATATATTTTAAATGTTAAAATCATTACACTACTTTATTTTCTCCCAATTTAGATAATCATCTTGTTACACTTACATTTTTATATCTGAAAAGGTGGGGAATGTCCCCTACAGGATAATAATACAGTTTGAATTGAAGTGTAAAGTGATCCATGCATGAACTACTGAATGAGAGTCAGAAGAGCTTCCTCTCTAAAGCAAAAACAAAATACATCTCACATGGGTACAATAAAAAAAAACTAAAATGTAAATACCATAGCTCCTAAGGGCAGCGTGCAAAACAGGTGTGTGGTAAACCATCACCGCCCAGATGGCATTGACAGCCTGGTCGACCTTTGACCCGGCAGCAATCTCATTTCTGGATGGTTGCTTCTTACAAGCAAGCATGAGTGTTCTCATGAGACCAGTCCTGGCATCTGAGGGCTCTTTGGAGGGGTCCCAGTGGGCAAAGTCAACAAGGAAATGTTTGAAATCTTCACTGGAACAAGCGTTGACCTATAAATGAATAAAGTGGGCTTGTATAAAAAGAATAAACACAATTTAAAACTAGAGCTTTGAAAGGTTGTAGTCGGGTGTTTTATACCATCAGTTTAATAGGATAATAAAAGACTTACATAATTACAAGGAATAATCAGCTAACTCATAATCAGTGGATCTTTAAAATGCCCATATCTGAACAAAGGAATCTTATAGTGCATAACAGGAAAAACATTTACTAAAACTGCACTGCTGACATGGATGGGTTTCTCATGTACAAGAAGACAAGTGAAATACTTACATATGACTAAAAAGAGACACTCAAAATTACTGACTTTTGAACTGCACAAATTACTAATGCAAAAGTTCTAAAAAATATATTTAACAGGACTACACCTGTAGATTACCTTCTTCTTGTCAGTACTGCACGGTGGGCAGCTGTCTTCCTCAGGCAGCCCGTGTCGGAAGAGAGGCTTCCACAGAGGGGAGTTCAGAATATGCGACATCTTTCCAGCAGGGAGCTCTTTAACATTTCTGATCTCTAAGCAGGGAAGAACAAAATATTATTAAAAATGTTGACAAGAATTACAGAGTGATACACACGTACTAAGTAATACATGCTCCTTTTGTTTGGTCCACTTACATTAAAAGTACCAGTTTTGTTGTGTTCAAATCAATTGCAACATCTTCAACAAGGCAAGAATGTCTAAACAGGCCAATATTAATTTGATAACTACCATTATAAAGTACTACAACTGAGTACATCAGCAAATGTGCATAAAAAATAAAATTCCTTGACAAACTATAAAGATAATAAAGAAGAGGAGGAATACTGAATGTCTCTTATTGGATAATACCTTTCTTAATTTAATTTGAATTAAGTTTTGGGTATTGTTAGGTTTAGGGTATAAGGTTTCTAAGAGTGCTTTTTAACCTAACATAAGTTTCCCAAGCCCCCCACTTTTTTAAATAAATTGCCATCTGTGCACCCTAGAAACCCATGTGCCCACTGGCCACCAGCCTCACCATAGGGAGATTTCAGAGCCATTGTTCGAGATGCCAGACGACCCATTAACCTGGACACTAGGAGCTGCAGATCAGATACCCAGGACACAGTGACATCAGGCAGGCCGTATGCTGTAACTGTAAACTTGTAGCCCCATTCATTGTTGCTGCTGTCAGAGTGGAAGAGAAACTGCAGCTGTGGACCAGCCTTAAAAGTAACTTTCTGTGGGTTAAAGCACATCATCCAGACATGCATTAGAACAATGTTAGATCTAGTGTCCTGCTAATAGCCAAAGCCCTAAGCATGGCTTGTCACGTCCATCACTATAGCAATTTGGTTTGATTTATTGAGCTCTTTATCAGAAGACATGTTAAATTAAACCACTGTTCTACCTTGATCCATCAAAATCTAACTTATTGTTAATTTTAAAGAAAAAAAAAATTAAATTCCTTTTAAAATCTCTGATCCAAAATCAGATGCCTGAAAACATGTCTGGGATTCCTGCAAACCATTCACTGATCCATCTAGAAAAATTAATCAGCACAATCAAGACAAAGAAACCCCACCTTAGGCCACTTCTCTGTGCCAACCTTCATATCATAGCGAACCTTTCCACCCCTGGCATCAGTGAACTCCAGGTAGTCGTATCTAACAGGATTCCAACATAACAGAAATTTAAGGAGATGATTTCAAACAGAAGAAAGCGTCTTACATCTAAACAAGCATTTAAGAGCTCATTAAGGAAATTTAAGCACCTTTAGTTCTGAGTAGCTTATTATTTGAGAAGAAAAAAATAGATCTAAGCATGAACAGCAATAACAAGCCCTGTGAACAAAATCCAGTGTTTCACTATACTGGCTTTAGATAGATACTTTATTGATCCCTTGAGGGAAATTGCAGATTTATTTATGTCTATTTCATGACTAGCATGAAGGAAACATTTCAAAATCTTGACAGGTACCTTTTTTCAGTTTCACATCTGTCATCAAAAACGACTTCAAAGGATGTAGCCCCTGGACAAACAAAACCGGTTGTCTCGTGACGGCTGTTCTCATAGTTGTGTGGCGACTCCATCTCCCATGTCCTCAGCACCACAGGCTGCTGGGGCTGTTGACAATTCTCCAGATCCCCCTGGACAGAGAGAGAAATACTATGTCTATGGCTATGACTGGCTACATCTTGGGTTAAGAAGCCAAGCAGCAACAAATAGTTGGAACAAAAAATACAACATTTCCATATAGCTCCTGAAACATGATTTATACTTTGACCACTTCATTGAATTTCTACAGCAAGTGGTTTCTATTAAACCAGGTTCTTCTCAGATTGCTGCAAGGTGATTCCAGGAAGTCCATACCTTGGAGAAGCTGTCCTCGGTTTCACTACACAGGCCTTTGAGTAATTCTACCAAAGAGGCAAAGCTTCTTAATAGGACACTGTGCGGGATATCCAAGGAGCATAACTCCAGCAGGAAAATGGCCTGAAACAATATAAAACAAATTACATACTGCATCTAGCTAGATATGGCTTACTGAGGACATCACAGGATATTAGGGTACCAAGAGGCAAACTGTAACTCTACTAAACAATGCAGATGCTATGGGATAAATATCATACTATAATAAAGTTTCCTTATTCTTTTTCAATTCAAAATACTTAATTCACCACCAGGGGGCAATTTCATATTCTAAGTTAGCATCCAAAAATCAGAAGAATTAACAGTTGACTATTTTCTTCAGTACCAGTTGTCTTGTAGTTGTTGCCAGAATAGAGCTGCTCAGTCTCTCCATGATCTCTGTTCCACTGTACTTCTCCAACAAGGAGACCAGGATAGTCTTTGTGCCCAAGAGGAATCTATCAACATCTAGGGAAGATCATTCAGATGTCACCAGTGAGAACTATACTTAAATAGAGAATAGAGTACTTCAATAGTCAATGGCATACGTTTCAGAAAATCCCACAACATACTCAATTGCAGTAAACGATGAAAAGATGGTCCTTTGCCTATAAAAGATTTTGTAAAATGATCAAACAAAAGGCCTTATTAAATATTTAGTTTAGCCTAATTACATTATAGTTAGTCAAGCCTAGTAACAGTTTAACAGTCATTATGTTTCCATCATTGACAGGGATACGTTTTTTCATATTCTTGATTCTTGATTTCATCATAATGTATAAATCCCCGGTAAATAAGTTATACAATTATATAACACTCTCTTGTAAAGCAGTATTTAAATGTTCCTTTTTCTAATTTATGCGTACAACCAATTACAGTGACATCTCATAATGTTATATTATTTATTCTTAGCAAAAACAGTTGATGAAAACAGATGATAAAAATTCTGAAAGCCAACAGTTGGATTTGGGGAAAAAAAAAGAATAATGCACTTTGCATTTCTGTTCACTGGTGAAGCTTAGAGAAATCTTTCCAGATGTTATTTCCACTGAAAAAGTTGCTTCGTATGTCAGCAAAGCACAGAAACCAGCAAAGGCTTTAAGGTGATACAGGCAATAAAATATAAAAATATAAACTATTTAAAATACAGAAAATATAATCCAAACCTTGAGGAGGAGGGACACTTACATTTAAGGAGGATCTCCCTGGCAAGATCAGCAGCACTGTTGGGTCCTCCCTTGAGCTGGAGGTAGCACCAAGACAGGAGGCTTCCCTGCAGAGCCCAGAACAGGGACAACAGCACCTTCCTCTGCCCACTGCTCTCACATGCCATCATCACCTCGCACTGCAACAAACACCACACCATCAGAAAGCCTGCCAGATGCACAAGGAATCTACTCCCCACAAAGCATGATTAGATGTACATAACACTATACTGTACACAGTCTCGAGGGCAAGCAATGTGCTTCCTAACTGGTACTGTACCAGAACGCTTCAAAGCAACATGAATCAATGCTTCTATGAACACGCTGCGTTTTACATCAAATGTTCACATATTCTGTGATGAGGTTGATGAACAACAACTTATTACAATACTGGGCAACTGCAACTACAGTATTTGTATTCAGTTTTGTGCTTTCACTTATTTTATTAAGTAACATGTGACCGCTATGGATATGTTGTCAAAATCTAAATCAGTTTACTGGGGTTCTGTACTGGAAAAGATCTGTGGATTCTACATTAGGAATGAGAAAATGACCTTCACCGTGTCCATCCCTGGCTATTTTAAACACTTTTCGAAGATGCATCCTGAGTCTACCGGGTATGCTCTGTCAGATACACAGTTGCAGATTATACTTAATAGGAACCAGAGGGGATATTAGAACTAGTATCCTATTTCTACTTCCATTCCAGGAAAAAAAAAAAAGTGTTAAATATAGGGAATTTATTCATTCTAACCAATGCACGAAGAATCTATGGAAAAACGATTCTGTCGTACAAATTTAAAACCTTACAGCACTACCAATATAATTTAAGCAACACAGACCCAATAAATCAAAATCTGATATTGCTCAACATACCTCTCGGGTTGCCACCAAAAGCATGGAGTCCATGACCATGAGAACTGGACTGGTGTCGAAATCAGGAGGAGCACCTTGTGGTGGAAGGAGCAGCAAACCGCTGGGGTCTTGACCACTAGTAAAAGCAGAAAACATGGTACTTAGTCATTCAGGCATCACCATCTTTCTCTATACTGATATTTTACATTCTGTCATTGAGGTCCCAGTTTACTTGTCCGGTGAGGAAACTAAAATAGAGACAGGAAACCCAAGGTCTACACTAACCTGAAGTAGTTACAAAGAGACTCAAACATCAGCTTTGTGGACTCCGGCTGATCATCGGCTGTGATATTTTTCTGAAAGGGGAAAAAGAAAGGGACAGGATTTTAATTAAAACCTTCAGTGCAAAATAAACTACTTTCAAAAACCATCATTTAAAAAGAAAAAAGGAGCTTTCGATCCATAAAACCTTCCCCGACTATTTTAAAACAATAATTCAAATCTGCAGACATGTTTATGATGTTGCACATTGTTTGCATCTTTAGGTTTAAATAATTAAGGTTCCGTTCTTAAGAAAAAGACTTACCGCTACCTAAAACCATCGAACACTCAAAGGTTTTACCTACACAGAAATCACTACATGACAATAAGAACCAGACATTCTTCAGTCTGCTACTTTGCTTCTATAAGTTGGCAAGACTTGGCTAGTATATGGATATTGCTTCTAAAAATAATTCAGTAATGCTGAAAGACTTCCACTAGTCATGGTTCCAAGTTACAATTAAAGAATTGTATGAGGCTCTGTATTTCTGAAGTTCACTTACCATCATAACAAAGAGCTTGTCTCTCCTGCTCTGCTTGTCAGGAAAGAACACAGCTGCTCCATTCAGAATAGTCTTGACAGCTTCTTTTCTCAGAGCTTTGTCTACAGCACTCTCCCCTTCTGGGCTATCCACCACTGCTCAGGAGATTAAAACACCTTCTTTAAGCATTTACCACAGCACCCAGCATTTTCAAGTTTTGATACCAGCAGTGTTTGGTCATCACATGGATTAATGGGTATAAACCCGGGTGAGACAAAGCTCAGCACTGTCATCTAAGCTTCTTTTCAGTATCTATCTTTTCTGTTTCGGCAAACGAAAGGTACATCAGCAGAGGACTAGATCAGCTACCATATTAAAAGCATTTCAATACACTTCCACAAAACCCACTGCGGGAGTGCACTGGGTCACTGGACAAGCCAGTGTGATGTCATCCTGGTGGCAGCATTCAGGTGTGGGACCTCACCTTGGCAGAGGTGCGTGTAGAGCTCCTTCACTGCCCCTGGCTGCTCCGGCTCTGCACTGCAAGAGGCTCCATCTGGTGCTCCAGGTGCGACTCTGGCAGACAGCACAGGGAAACAGCTCTGCAGGAGCTCCAGGAGCAAGATCCGGGTCTTCACAGCCTCTACCTCCTCGCTAACATAAAAAGAGAAATTGCAGTCAATCGAATAAACCGAGGGCCTGCAATTTTTTATTCTCCGGCATCCATGAAGATTAAGAAGAATGAAATGGGGAACACTTATAGAAATTTATTTATGGAGGTGCATTTTAAAATGAGCACCCCTGACTTTCTCAGAGTTCTTACCCAAGCAGTTTATCTTGAATCTTTCTTTCTCAACATACTCACATACTTACTTTTTTAGGAGTTTGTTGTAAAAGTCCCAGAACAGCTCTAGATTCAGACCACTGAAGTCCAGGAGACATTTCTGTTTCAGCATGGATGTTTCTTGAGTCACCTGAAGTCAAGAAAATTACAAAGCAGGAACCTTTTAAAACTGAGACCTCAAAAATGTTCCAGCAAAATGTCTGAATATTATCCTTTGTTAACTAAAGAATTCTCTGTCTGCAACATCAGAAATCTGCATGAGAGGGGAAATGCAATTTTAAAACGTATTACTTGCACGTTATAAATTAATACATGATGGTGGGTTCCCAATGGACAGAATCACGCTAAATGTTTGTATTTTGCAATTGGTACGTGGTCCTGAATTATGGTTTGTTTCGTGCCTTAACACATAAACATGGAATACCACTGGCAAAATATTCTACTTTGCACTCGATAACTTCAGAAAAGAATAACAATGGCAATTACAAATCAGCTTAGATATACACAAGTAAAACATCAATTTTGATTAAACTAGTTGGAAAGAGATTTTAAAACATCAGTCTGATAAAGCTTACTTTAAGGAATTAGTTCAGATTAGACATGTCAGAGCTGGTTTCTGATGAAAAGACAAATAAATAAATAAAACAAAGCAATATGCTTTTCATTGCCTGCCTTCTGCTAGAGTCCATCATGACGTAAACCACCAGGAGGAGGAAATGATACTACCATATTACTTAGAAAGGGGATAAGTACCATGTCACGTGTAAGCTGCTGAATGAAGTAGAGTGTTTTCTGTATAAGTGAAACTCCGCAAATCACACTAGACTCTGCATTCTCTCCTTGCAAGTACAGGTTCTCCGTGTCTATGTGCTCAGTTCCAGGCCGCATGTATCCGCTAAAACTTAGCTGCTGGATTCCCAGACGCTCGGCTGTCTCCTGTCTTGTGCATAGGAATTTCACCATCAAGTACTAGAAAACAAACACAAAAAAAAGACAAGACACCTTAGCCCACTATTCTTTGCAAAACACATTGTACATAGAACTTTATAATGCTATATTAAAATTGCAGGTATAAACTTGTCCCTGAAATGGAATTAACTAAAATCAGCAGATGGCACATTCCTTGTTTACTGTGCTATTTTTTAAACATGATAAAGTAAGAGACAACGCTAATCACTTCTTCTAAATTTGTGAGCACTCTTATCTGACTTCACAAAGTTTGACAGATCTTGCTTCACTCGGCCTGTAAAGGGTATCTGGCTCCCATGCGGACAGCGCACTAACCTTTGTAATGCAGCACTGCTGCAGCTTGACCTCCACGTCATTCCAGTCATCCTCGAGTTCAAACCAGCCGACAGGGTCATCCTCCCCCAGCTCTGAACGCTGGCTCGTGCTACACAAACAGCAAGTGGTGATTTCACTTCTGTTAGACCAAGCCAAGCATTTCACTTCCTTTAAAATACGTCCATCCGTGCAGGGTCATGGGAGGGCCGAAGCCATGAGTGTAAGGCAGGATACATCCTGGACAGGATGCCAGTCCATCAAAGGCCTCACACAGCCACAAACCTGCACACACTCGCACCAGGGCCAATTTTCCATGAAGCCAATTAACCTACCAGTATATCTTTGGATTGTGGGAGGACACTGGAGCACTCAGAAATAACCCAAACATGGGGAAACATACAAACCGCACACATACAGAACCCCAAGTCTGAAACTGAACACAGAGCCCCAGTCCTGGAGGTGGCAATGTTAACCACTAAGCCACTATGCTGCTCTAAAGCTAATGCCTATTAAGGAGGGGGAGAAAGCTGGGAAAACAATTTTACAAAATGGAGCACAATAAAATAATTTTACCAATTCTTTTTAGTTTTTGTTTTGGCTCTCCACCTAAACACTGCAGTTCACAGGTCAGAAGCTCTGCGCACACTTTTGTTTTTCCAAGACTTCTGCTTTTCTCACTTCATGACAAACACAAAAGATCTAATTAATAGTCCTCACTGTCGTTGCCGCGATTTCAACCAATGCACTAGGGATTGGTTAAGGGATTGCGTTAAGCCACCGGAGTGGGACACAAAGGCACTCCACAAACAAGGAAAACAAAATATGCACAAGGTTATTAGAGGATTGGTGTCACCAATGTGAAGCTAGTTTTCCCCATAGGGTTCAGGGAGTAGAGGATGATAACCATGGAAAATAATCTATGCTTTGGGATTTCATTTTCAAAATGAAACAAACATATTGCCCAGAACGAAGAAAAAAAGATATAAAACGATCCATTTCAAAAGGCTTTTCTTACCTATTTTTTACAAATTCACGGTAATCATTGAAGTCCCATGCATCATACTTCTTAAACCTTTTGAAGTGCTTTTCTGCGTCAAATGTTGTTTCAGCCTCGTTGTAGGCAAAAATCAGACCACATTTGGCACCAATTGCTCCTTTTCGCACCTACAAATTAGGAAGGACACAACTGCTTACAGCCATTGACATCACCATACAAAAAATGCAAAATTCCAGAAAATTAACATTTTAGTTATTGTGACAGTACCTCTTTACAGTTTTTCACACGACAGAGCATAAAGGAGACTACACAAAGGTTTAACAGGTTCAGTTAAAAATTAAAATAAGAAATTGAGATAAAGAAACTGAATTCAACTCCACCCTAGGTAAGAGATGACGGCTTGGTTCCCATCATGCCACTGCATGGTTACAGCAAAATTGTGCACTCACTTTAATCTTCATCTGAGTGACCTGGAAGGTTGTTTGGTCCTCTGTTGATAAGATGATGCTAGCTCTTTTCTTTCCATTTTCTGTGAGGAAACCTACAAACAAAGAAGTGACAAAATACTGGATTATGTGTAATGCAAAAGATACAGTTATTCTTTTTATTAATCTGACACAAACTGAGTATGGCTATCAAGTGAAAAAGAAGACCAATTATTAGTAATATAGTGATGGATTAATGAAATATTTCCAATGATTTCTGAACTGCCATGAATTATAAGAACTCATGCCTGAAATGGCATGTTCCCTCATAACACCAATACTGAATGACCTGACTGGGACGTCCCCTGTGACAAAGGCCCTACCATCCCCTGCAGTAGGAGGATCCATCAGCATGTTCTCAGGCCCCGATTTTTCCTCCTTCCCCTTCACGTCACAGGCTTGTAGCCTCAGCTGGAGAGGCTTCCCTGAGAGAAAACAGGAATACGCAAAATTGTAAGAGACAGCCATTTTGCACCACACTCTCAATCTCATCAAGCTAATTCCAACTTCCTACTAGATTCACAGATAATCATAATGTGCTCATGACGTTAACAATAATGCCCAGATTTAGAGAACAGTACGTTAGCTCACATGCCATTCTCAGCAAACTCATTATAGTCTCTACCATGACCAAACTCTGCAATGAAAGTCTTAATCTACAAAAGCAAGATGGCAAGATTTTTCTTACAGGTTTAATTTCAATATCCTTTAAAATTAAACAATGCCCCTTTACTGAAAACATGGAGTAAGTTCTGTCAGCTGTTTTCTGAAGCACTTAGAATATGTCATTTGGCAAAAGAGATTAGCACTCATATGAATAATGAAAGTGTATGCTTTTGTGAAAAAAAAAGGAGATTTTCCTTTAAAAATGGTCATTGTTTAGACCTAGAATAAGTCAATTAAGGAATGAAAAGGTTTGTTATCATGTATTATTACCACTTTTAAGCTGATCTAGTGACAACTTAAAATATCACATCTTCCCCAAGCTGTAACCAGAGTGAAAACAGCATAAATCATGGCAAAATAGGCTAAAAAAAAGCTAAACAGCTGCTGTGCAGCTCTGGCTAGAACCTGCCTATAGTAAGAAACTATATTTTAGAAGATGTCAAGTGTGCGAATGGCCATTACATCTATGTATTGTTAAAGATCCCCATCAAGTTATGAGCGAAAATCATACATTTATAAACAGAATATACTAGAAAGTGACACAAACAAAGCAAATATTCCTGCCTCAAAAATAGTTTAATACAACTCAATAAAAGACATACATTTATAGCTAAAAATACAACCACATAAAAAGCACCTCACTTAAGACAAGTCAAACAAAACAAAGTTACCATTCTTATACAGCAGTTGGAGTCTGACTGTAGCCATGGAGGAGATGAGAGAGGAGGCCCTGTACTCTGTGCCCAGATGGTCACTGATGATGGACAGGGACATCATCACCTTGGCAAGACTCCCCCGGGCCAGGGCAAAAGCCAGCAGTGTCATCTCCGTTTCAGGGGTCACACAGCAGCTGGCAAGGAGAAACCCAAAACCTGATTGAATGTGGATACTCAAGTAATGTACAGGTAAAGTGAACAAAGGACAAATCTGTAACTGTTAAATCCATCTTCACTCTTTGATCTTATAGTAGGGGCACCTTTACCCTATAAATATGAATTTCTGGATGCATAAACAATAGAAAGGGTGGCACCCTAGACTGAGACAGAGCTGCTGTAAGTTAACAAAAAAGTATACGAGTTATGCAAGATATTCTATCTTGTGCTGACAAAATTACTGTATTCAATTTACCGGTCATCACTCGTGCAAGCAGAAATCTTCCTCTAGCACTTACATCCAACCCATGCTCACAGGAATAGCTTCATTTACTCACTCCGCTATTCTGAGAAGAAATCCATCCACCTCCTCCAAAATGTTTGGCGAAAAGAATTTGGGGAACTCAGTGGATCCAGGAGTTAAGGACAATGGTGGCATGTGCTGCAAAGCTTTCCTGAATGAAAGGAATACATGCTTCAGCGCCCAAGACAGCTTCGCAACAATTAATTCAAAAACGCTTATGACACGGTGCCTTTGTGTGGCTGCAGTATCATGTTAATCTTTTCTCTGCATACGCTTTGTTAAAACCACCTTATATTTTTGGGTTCATTTCTATTGATCTGGTTAAACAAATCGTGTTAGTTTAAAAAATCATTTTCTAAAGATCAGATTCTAAGGCAGACCAACTATTATCAGTTAGAACAGGAGAAGCTTACTGTGTGCTCTGCAGGACTGTCTGCGCCAGCACAGGGTTGGTCTCCATGGAAGCCGTCACTAAAGAAGTCAGAAGAGACAGATACCAGATAGCAGAAGCATCAGACACAGACACCTCCTTGTTCTTGGTGATCTGATAGCCCATGGTCTTCAGGCCATGTATCCGTGTGTCACAGCCATCACTCAGGCAGCGCTTGATGTTGATCTGAACATCTGGAGGCATTTTTGGGATAGAAAGCAAAACTGCAGTTAAAGTAATACAACAACATCTGATTGCATATGAGTTTCAGCAATTTATGTTTCTTAAGTAAATATAATCCGAGGACCATACAGGCCTAACTACTCCATATTTGTACATCTAATCATTTTGCAAAGGACAACGCTTTAAAAACTGGATTTTTTGCTTACACTGAAATACAACACAGGACTGGTGCAACAACAAAAAAAGCGATTTCCAAATATGTATTACAATATAAATAGTGGAAAAGAAAGAACAAGCCTGACATTTTTAAGGAGGACAGAGGAAGTGATAAAGAGGTTTATGTTATTTGAAAAGTTAATGTACTGTTCACTGTATATTAAAATAAAGGGAATCAAAAGGCTAAACTGAGATTAAGAACAGGAAGCAACACAATATGTTTGTACTCACAAGGGTAGGTGATATTGGCATTTTCCAAAAGTGCAACGTATCCTGTGACGTTACTAGGAATCCGAATATCCCGGATTTCCTGCATGGACCGCCGGTTCTTCCCTACAGCCACAGACACCAACTGGGGCATGTAGCTGTGGTCATTGGAAGCCACTGCAATCGCCAGGCGTCTTAATACGACATCGGGTTTCATTTTCAACCTGCGAATAACAAGGTCAGGGAAACCAAACGACAAGGAAAATCACGTTCGTGTGTTAAAGAATTACTGGCACAAAATTTTCAGTGGATACTGGTTGATTACAGTGTTATGTCATGCTACATGTGATTTATATTGGCTCCTAACTTCCTAACTCCCAAACAACACCAAAACACAGGAGTTAAATTATACTTGAAATCTGCAAAACTGTTATAAATTAACAGGATGATTAAATAATAAAATTATTATTAAAATAATATTATACTCTTTATAATAGAATATAAAACAGATTAATGGTAATATGCTGACTCCAAAGGGATTACAGGCTTCCTTACATTTTTAGTATTCACAACCTTAAAAAAATGTAAATCATCCCACATCTGTATGGATGTATGTACTCAATGAGTACATATGACATTCAAAAACTAGTGAAAGTAGTTTTACCTTATCCAGTGTGATCGGGCACTTCCATCAGATTGCCAAAAGGACATGGTCTCCCCATTAGTCATCTTGTAAATGTCAGCAGCATTCGAAGAGGCTTCTATGAAGCTGTAGCACTGGGTGACAATTTTCACTTTGTCGACCTCTGGATCCTGGCTGAGCTCAGCTCTGTACTGGATATCTAAATCTAGAGAACAAGTCTATTACTGAAAAAACATGCTACCGTTTAGCAGAAAATAATGCTCACAGAGATTCTAATGTTATAAAACTTAAATGAGAAACAAATATCAAGCCTGTCTGTGATATTCTATTTTGTCCTTAAACTCTTAAAAAACTTTTCAGAATAATAAAGTAAATGAATAACAACTGGAAGTAGACCTATGACAAAAAAGAGACAGTGCTTGCAAGCACAATGAGTTGACAAGTTTAGTCATCTAAGCTTATGCTTAAGAAAGGCAACCAAATTAAGAGTACTACACGTTTATGGGATTATTGAATCTAATCAAAAAAGCACAAATAAAAAATATGTAGACAGAAGAATAGTACTTTGACCCTCATGGAAATAAGGAACAGAATCTTGGATTACTCAGTAGCTCAGAAAAAATGTATATTATTCTCTACTGCTGGCTGAACTTAAACTATTCATAACTAGCACAAAAACCGAATACTCATTCCACCAAGAAGTGAAATATGTTCATAATTTAAAGATGACCACTTTTACGCAAACTACCAAGACAATTTCGGCATTGGCTCTACCTGAAAACCTATAATAAAATGCAGGAGCAATCTGAACGCCTCTTCACCTTAAACACATACAGTATGGGAATATCTGAGGGTATGTTTGCCTCTACCACCTTAAGGAAAGGTGTCTGCTCGAGAAGACGGTTTCAAGCTGGTTGTTATCAGAGTTACTGCACAACCGATGGTTAGTGTGTGTCCCAGAATCCTTCACCTTTCTCTTTCTGAAGGAGAAAATCTAAGAAGTCCTGGACGACAGAGGACCTCATCGCACAAATGCTATTGTAGCCCTCCAGCATGGGGAAAGGAATGGCACTGCTGGGGATCCTGTTCCGATGCAGGAACTTCAAGATCTTCGAGGCATGGAGCCCAAGGCGATCCTTCGATTTGGAAAAAATATCAACGAAGCCTGAAAGATGGTGGGGGGGGAGAAAAACAAAGTGCCCATGAAAACTCTGTCAGGTATGGCTTGTAATCTCTTGACACACTGCCAATAAGGAGAGGCCCAGACTGCCCAGAAAAGCTCCTTCATGTTTGCACAACACTGCCGCCACCCCATGCCACACCTGGAGTGAGAGAGCAGGCCTGCAGCTGCCGGATGACGTGACTGAGCTCCCCCTGGAGGTTTGCCCCATTGCAGTTCTTCAGAGCCATCAGCATGTTCTCAACGTCAACAACGCCATCCCCCTCGGCATCAAACTGCCCAAACGCCTGCGGGAATGGAGCAGAAAGGTCTATAAGCAATCAGCGAGACAGGCTTGGCAACAAGAATAGCAGGCAGGACACAGCTGATCGTGGCCGTCAGCACATCTGTACAGCCCGGGAGTGTATCGATCCTAGAACTTCATCATAACGCCACCCTCTACTCTTCATAGTAAATGTCTAGACCCACTTTCTTTTCTTACATCACTTAGACCAAAGCCGTCCCATAGTAGAATATAGAAGAAATGTTCCCTGGCGGAACACACACCAGTATTAATGTGTTCAACTCGGTAAGAAATACAATCTTTATCAGCTGTCTCCACACAGAAATGGCTACTGTACACGACTGGATTTATAATTATTGTTCATTTGACTTACTTTGAAGTACCAGTTTATAGAGCTGGACTGCCTGGAGAAATCTGGGTTAAGAGCTTTACTGTAAGATCCAGCAGCAGTGTCCCCAAAGCCACTCTCCAAACCCTTCTCTAAAATAATCACGTTTTTCCCCCAAACACACCGTGACAAAGTTCAATCACACTTAAAAACTCAGGTTGCCTCCCAAATGGGGTAATACTGATTCCGATGTCTGCCTGAGCGACACAGATCATGTGGATCTAAAAGGAAAGCCTCAGTCACATAAAACAAGCTCTCATACAGACGCACGGAGTGGAGAAAAAATAAATGTGCAAAAGGTGCTTTTATTCTTTTAAAGACAGCTGGGGAGAACTACACAGTCCTCCAGCCCTGTCTCTAGACTGAATGACAGCTGCTTAGGAAAGTTCCACGCAAATCCGAGACCAGGATGAAGTTTGCTCGTCTCTGGCTCGCTTTTGGAGTGGGGGGCAGAAACTGGGACGCCTGGGAAGACGCACCTCCTCACACTCGTCCCTCGGCGCGTCGCGGCTCTCCAGCATCTCGCAGAACTGCTCCAGGGTCACCGACTCCTCCGCCCGGCTCAGCCGCTCCTCCAGCCAGCGCACCAGGGCGCTCTCGTTCCGGGCCAGCACCGACTCCGAAATGGCGACCCACGAGTCGCTCATGCGGGCGGCAGCCTCCCTGAGCTTCACCTGCTCCAGGAGGGCGTCGGGCGGCGGGAGCCCCCCGCAGGGTACGAGCCCCGGGGAGACGCTCACCCCTCTTCCGCCCGCTGCCGAGCTGCCCCCGCCGGCCCCGGCGCCCGCCGGAGCCCCCGAGGCCGGGCTGTTCGTCACCAAGCCAGGGGTCACGGTTTCCAACTCCTCCTCGTCGCCGCTGGCTCCTCCGCAGCCGCTTTCGGCGTTCCCCATGTCTGCCAGGGGCCTCGGGCTTTCCTGCGTGCTCTAGCGGCCCGGCCAGCGAAGGTGAACGGGTGGGTTTGTCCAAACTGCCTGCTTCACAGAGACGCTCCCAGCCCGTCTCCCCACAGCGCCTGTCACTACCGCATTAGGCGTACTGTACGTCGTGACGTCACGCCATTAATTCGCAAGTCAGCGTTTGACCTGCCTGACTGGTATTTATACTTACCAGTTTAGTACACAAATTTCTCAGTTGTACATATTATGTCACCCGCGCAAGAGTGTTCCTGCAATGAAATGAGCGTTATTGGAAAATGGACAACTCTATTGTTAAATGATCTTAAATTTGACAGTTCTATTACATGTATAAATCACTTTTTTTTCCCTATTTTTATTGTAAGGTGCTCTGTAGACATTCAATATTAGAGTGGCAAATTATTTTCTGCCGTGTGGAAAATAACTTACGCAACTTAATGCCTCTTTCACATTTGGGCCGCAATATTAATGTAGTTTAAACATTTAAATTATGCGTAATAGGCTTCAGGAAATATATTTTAACTTGGCTTAAGTACATTAACAGGTTTATTTTGATACCTTAAGAATTCACTGGTTAGATTGCTACATCAAAGGTTTCTTAGTTTTTATTTACATGTATTTCAAAGAAGGGACCTACATTTAAAGTGGTTAATAACATAATTTAAGCATTTATTTAATTATAAAAAATTCCTGTACAATAATAACTAAAACTTTTCAGCCTATAATATAAAAATCCCAGAGTGAGACGTCATCAGTGTTTATTTAGAAAAATAGCCAGGAAATGGAAATCCCGGTGTCCTATCGAAAAATGCTCCTATGAGCAACCCATAATCCCCTTGTAGGGTTCCCATGCTACTAAGATAAATTGAACCAGAAATTAACCCAGTGACAAAGTATAAATAATTGATCAAAAAGTCTCTTGCCTTTTTCATTCTTTTTCATAATGAATTCACTAATGACATAGACGCAATATATACGTTTTATTAAGTCCAACTAACAAATGTATTAAATGCAAATAACAATGTTTTAGTGCTTTCTGTTAATTTGTATAAATGATACTGTTACATTTAAAATTAAGTTTGCAACGTTTCGGTTTATGTCAGACTTTTTCTTTCTCCAGGCAACAGGAAACCTTTTACAAATTTAGTGGGGTTTTTTTTTGTGTGCTTTACATCTCTTAGTCGATGATAAACTCGTTAAATGCTGAAATTCCTGCGAAATACGCTTTACTCCAGAAGGCTCCTGAGCGCATACGAAGTAAAGATAAATGTTTTTTTTTTAAAAGGCACATGGGCTACCAATTTAGACGGCTAGTGTTTTATTATTTTGTGTCTCCAAACAGTGAAGAGAACTGTTCACGGGGAAATAAATTAAGGGGACACCGAAATGGTCACAAAACCGGAAAAACAAAGATGTCATAGCAAGTGTTCAGGACGCAGCAGTATAATAAAGTCTGATGGCTATAATAGGAATCTTTCAGTTCCTGCTTTTTTCATAACCGCTTTGTCTGTTGGACTTTGAGGTGCTCGTCAATCACAAGTACAACATGGAGACGTGTATTATTTAAATCTTTTGGCGAGCAAAATATTTTAATGTACAGTACCTCGGGCCATCATGCTGAAGTATTTTGTGGCGGTGCTATTGGTGGCTATTGCGATCCTGATGGCGCCGCAGACCAGGAAGCTGCTGGAAACTAATATTCTGGACAGGGCGAAGTCCTTCCTGCCCGCAGCCTGGACAGCTCAAGCATCGGTTCGGCTTTTAAATGAAGATGAACTCGCCCTGTACAACGGAGAGCCGGGCAGTCGAGGCTTGTACCTGTCAATTTTGGGACAGGTATTTGATGTCGGGAAGGGAAGGAAGCACTACGGACCAGGCGGTGCTTACCACTTCTTTGCAGGTGAACCCTTCGTCTTAATTCATATTTACAAATGCGCATAAATGTGTCATAAACGCAAATCATTCGTGAGACCCTGCTAGAAATTTCTACGGTATGTACAGTGTCATATGCTTTATCCACTTCGTGTTTGTGGTACAGCAGTTTATTGTTCCTGAATTTCACCCTTCAAGACTCAGATGTAGGGACGAGAATAGCAGAACTCCAAATGACTAAAATATTGTCCGCATCGTGTGCCAAAAAAATTCAAACGTACGAGTCCGCTGTATAAAGGATGTCTTGAAAAAATGGACTCCAGAGTTTGAGAAATGCTTTTAGCTGCGCAGAGTGCGATTTCGCTACACGGCTTTGGGATTTTCTCAGATACATAGGTTATCTGAGAACCTATGTATCGTTATAGATACGTTACATAGCTAGAGTACCGTTCAGTTACAGTAACTGTAGACATACTCCCCTTTTTAGTTCTTTTGAGGTGGAGCTGAAACACTATTTAAATTCTATTAAAAATGTGAGAAATAATAAAGCACGGAAAACATATGATATATGTAAAAAATACAATTTAATCATATAACTTACTTATTACCTCTGGCGGTTAACTGTTTATTTTTCTGTTTGTGTTTGTTCTCTTGTACCTAATCTGATCCTCTGATTGTATTTGTATTTGTAAATTCTTTACACATTTAATAAAAAATTCTTTAAAAAAAATACAGTAACTGTAGACATATTGTCTGATTTAAGGCAGAGATGTCTCCCGAGCTTTCGTGACCGGGGACTTCACCGCGGCCGGGCTGGTGGATGACATCACGGGACTCTCGCCCACTGAAATGGTGGTTCTGTTCGACTGGCTCTCCTTATACAAAAGGGATTATGTGCCAGTGGGTAAGGAAACCGCAAGCGCAGTTCTTGGGAAATACCAATGCTTGTTACTTAGGACAAGAGTATAGGAGCCTGCACAGGTCCAGATAGAGCTGAGGCACATGTATAATGTTCTGACATTATCAGTAATTTCAGACAGAGATGATCAGCGACCTTCCTTCTCGTTAACATTGGATAAGATTTTTCCCTTTTCCTGCCAGGCTTATAAACGCAAATCAAAATCTTGATTTCACGTTGTCAGCTTGTTGCATTTCCATGGTTGTTACTGTACATATTCTACAAGGACAAGAAAGTTTAATATGCTGTATATTTTAAGTGGCCCTGATTAAGACTCTTTGCAGAGCATGACAACATTGTAATTATAACAATAAGAGCGTATGACATGAGTGAAACCTTTAACATTTGTCTAAGAAATGTACCGAAGTAGAATATTCTTGTTCAATAATTTAATGCAAGTCAGTAATTCTTAAATGAAAGAAGACAGTGCTATAACCTTATGTCTTGTCTCATTGGAAAAAAAAAATGTCTTCCACATTAACATGCCTGCATGTTGCTGTGTGAAGGCAGGCTGGTCGGGCGGTTCTACAGCGAGGTGGGAGAGCCCACAGCAGCACTGCAGCAGGCCCAGGTCATGCTGGTGCAGGGGCTGGAGCTCAAGGCCCAGGCTGAGGAGGAGAGCCGGCAGTTTCCCTCCTGCAACTCGGAGTGGAGAGCGGACAGGGGAGGCAGAGTGTGGTGCTCCACACAGAGGTACGCTGCCAGCTGGAGAATCCCGCCCTACAGCTGCACATACACGTCTGGGGCAGTACAGGGGGACACTCCGTACAAATAGCTTGGGCGGATTTACATTTTTTTTACACCATTTATCACTAGTGTGGAATAGCTGCTGGGCACTGGTGTATGGCACAGACCTTATGTGATTGGCCCTTTAAAACAAAATCATCCATCCTTCCATTTTCTAACTGCTTCTTCGAATCCAGGGTGACAGGGAAGCCAGTCTATCCCGGCAGGGTACACCCTGGATGGGATGCCAGTCCATCGCAGGGCAGGCACATAGAAGCAAACACACTCACACCGGGGCTGTGCCACGCACTGCAGTAAAATAAAAACAGGTTTTCAAAGTCCATGTGACCGACTTTAACGAAAAATAATCCATTTAAAACCTCACTCCTTGGCATTCTGGCTGCTGGCCATAGTGACACCACAACACTAGAGGGAGCACAAGCCTTGTATTGTTGACATTTCTCAAAACGGGAAAAGTTAGTAGTCTTGTCATCATGCATCTGTCAGTACATGGGTGTGTATTGCTAAGAATTAATAACACTTCAGAACATGTAGTTCCAGTTTTCCTTATACTTTTGTATTTAAAATGCTACTCTCACAGCCTGTTAAAAATGTACTTGTATTTAAGCGAGGTCACAAGGTAGCTGACCGCTGTGCTTGTCTGCCGCAGTGGAGGCGTGCTCAGAGGCTGGGCAGGCGTCCCCAGGAAGCTCTTCAAGCCGGGTTCCAGCAGCTCCCGCTGCGTGTGTGTGCAGGTCAGGGACCTGGCCAGCCCCCGCCTGCAGGAGTACGAGGGCTGCCCGCCCGTCTCCGAGTCCTGCGCCGTCGGCAGCTAGCCCCCCGCCCGTCGCTCAGGAGGGAGATCAAGCGCAGGCCCCAGGAGAGGACTGTCAGGCAGTATGAGCCCCCGCCGTTTTCCTTCTGTCCTGTTGTCAGGCAGCGGTTCAGACGCTGAGGTGCTGATGCGATCTGACCCAAATCCAGACGTCAGACCACTCCTGGCCCTCATTACACAAGGCAGGAGCTGAAATGAGTGCTCTGAGATTATAAGGGAATAACTCCATTAGTATCTCTGTTGTTCATAAGAGCAAGCAGCTGCTGCGTTCTTTACCTTTATACTGGGCCAGGGCATATCTGTGGATGTGTAGTTTTTAGGGAAAAAAATCACGTGCTTCACTTCTAAACTTATATAAATACCCAGGAAAGTGTGAATAAAAGTATTTTAAAAAAATGAATTCAATTAAATGTTTAACTGGGCCTGGAGGGTGGAAGGGTGGTCGAGGTTTCTGTAGAAACACTCAAATGTTGAAGTTGTGTTCGTAATACCTAAATACTGAATTACTTTACTTTAATACTTTATATGTCAACATAGTTGATTGGAATTTGCCCCAATGCAGCCCAGATAAAACCACCAACAGAAATAATTTTACACTTACATACAGTAGTACACATTGAACATTCAATTTAAGATTCAAACTTCAAAAAATCAAAAGACTCCTGCTTGCATCACCCAAGAGCTATGTTTTGAGGTGCCTAATGGCCTCTAGACAGGTGATATTTCAGAATATTTCAGATGCATTTCACTACTGCATTTGATATTTTGAAACCTCCTAACTGAAGGACAAACTTTAAAAAAGAGCTGATGGGGTGGAAGAATTCAGACAAACATGTAAAAGAGAACAAGAATGACCAACATATTGTACTTAACGGTCACAGTAAAGTGACTTTTCATAAAGATCAGTTGCATATTAAGTCAATAATTTGTCATTTCTAAACACTTTTTTAATGGCAACTGCACTGTTAAAATACTGTTATTTTATTCTACTGTAATGATCATTATGGCCATAATTTTAGGTGAAGATAGAATGATGTTCATAGTCTGCCAGGAGGCTTTTGAAGGTTGTATCCTGAAGAAAACAGCCAAGCAATTAGAAGGAAGTCCTGCCTGCAACATATGCCCTGAACAGTTTCCACCCGAACCACTGGAGCACCTACAGAAGGGCACAGTGGGACACAAAACCACTCTGCGGGACTCGTCTTGCTTTGGTCAAGGCGACATTTTTTCATAACCAGAGAAATGGCTGAAGTCTGTCAGAAGTTTCGCTAGGATCCCATACTCGAGCAACGCCACAGCAGGTGGAGTCCAGGACGAAATGTTCTTGGAAAAATCTTACAATTAACTACGCCTTTGTGCTGGTGGAAGCGGCTAATTTCCTAGGTATATAGCCGTAGGGGCGTACTTTTTCTTTCGGGTAGGCAGGTGCGGTCTAGCCATTCAAAAGACTAGCGCAACAACTGTTCCCCGCCGGCTCCTCCTCACAAACAGGTGCCGGTATAATGGAGAAGAATAAAAGACGGAGGCAGAATACTCTTCCCTCGGAGAGTAGTTTTATTGTCGGCCTTGTCATACACAGCACAATACCAGCTACACACACAAATCGATGATCTTAACTCCTCAAGTCGCTTAAATGCTTCTCCCCTTAGCCGCCCGCCTAATTCTCTTCTCGCCCCTGTGTCGTCACAACGAAACTTATCATTCTTATCATTCTTTTTAAAACTCAAAACTCTTTTAACATTTACTAAATCGCGTCTTACACTAGTATTGCGGTATTGCACAACCGGGCTATTTACTTTCTGAGAGGTCTTTAGAGGAGCTGAGGTGACCTACACATCCTCTGTACCTCAGGCAAGAGTAGGGTGTGTAACCATCCCCCTCAGCTGGTTTTGGTTTCATTTCTGCTCCGGCTGCTGACAAGAAGTGCGGAAGAAAATCTTACCTCTCGGTGTCTCATCTTTTAAAACAGGAAGTAAGCACTGTTATCTTTATTATCGTTTAAAACAAAACATTATTTAGTGTTACAATATTTATATATTCTTTAATGAATACTTTGTAGAGCAGCAGAGTAGAAAACGGTATTTGCTATTGAATCTTAACTGCAAAAACTAGTAACGCAGAATGATAACACATACAGTATTGGCAGTTCAAATTATCACACGAAGGTCTGTTCTTTTTTTGTAGGATTACGACAGCGCTCATCCATAGGATAATGGAGTCTCAAGGGAATTTATGGAAGGAGCTTCTGAGAAAGTTGGAGACGAAGGATTTGGAAAAGCTGGTGAAAGCAGTCGGGCAAGGCTGCAAGAAGCTCACCAGATCCATGATGATTAACACCGTCGTTAAACACAGTTTGAATTCCGCCGAGCTCCTGAGGCGCGCAGCGCTCAGCAAGAATACTCTCTACGCGTATGCGCTGGAGAAATGCCTCAGTGTGTCTGCAACCCAAACCAAGGAGGAGATCGCGAAGAAAATCGAAGAAAGTTGGGAGATGAGGGGGAAATGGAGACCCCGGCTGAAAGATCACGAAAAGCGTGAATGCTTGGTAATTCTTCGGAGCCTCAAGCCTCAAGAGGTGGAGAAACTGATGGGGAAACTTGGTTGCGTTTCCTCTGAAAGGAGTGAAAACCCGTTTTTAAGAATCCTGGATTACCTGCCCTCAGTGGAATGGCTCTTGAAGAGAAAGTCTGTCTCCAGAGGTGCACTGATACACTATTTGGGAACGGGGGATAACCTCCCGCCGCCGCAACTTTCAAAAGACAAGCTTGTTTCGTTTGTGCTGGATCAGATAAGTCAGAGCGCCGTGTAATCATTTCATTGCTGATACTATAGGCTCAAAAGGAGCAAGTAGTAGGTTTATTCCATGGTGAAAAGAGAAGAAAGAAAACAACGCGTGTCACCCGAAGAAGGCTCCACGGCCGATACGTTGTTTTTTTCTTCTCTTCTTCAGCACGAATAAACCTGTTGTTCTTAGCAGCCTACGCATGCTGACGCAGCTACACGCCGATACTAGACTTGGTTGTGTTACACCTAAGTTGTGTAATCAGCAATACGAAAAGTTCGTTCATGTTTAATTTTTGTAATTGCTAAATCAACCGGCTTCTTAAGTTTTATTTCCCATTAATACTATCAATTGTAATAATACTGCTAACGTTTGCGATTTTTCTTTTTTGCATTTCTGTTCCTTTTTTATTAATGCTTTCTCTAGCCAAACGTCGGTGTTTTACAACAGCTAAACAGGCAGAGTTTAAGGTTGGGATGAGTAGCCTACCTAAGCAGATATTTGTTCCATAACAGTGCAATAAGAATGTTAAGTTAATTAAGTCCTAAGCGGCAACCATTTTAACTGTGACTGTTTTCACGAATATAGTCCAGAAACAGCCATAAATAACTAACTAGCAGAGGACATTAGCTAGCCAATATGATAAGGGAATAAATGACTTGCTTTTTTTTGTTTAGTTCTTGTGCACATTTATTTGAACATTTCCATTGATCGTACAAGCATTGAAAAAACTTCCAATCCCGAGTTCGTCGGGCATTTTCCTTTTCGCTGCGGGAGCGCTCCCACTGCTGCTGGTAGCATTGTGTTGATTTAAAGTGATCAGGTATGAGGAAATATGCAGCCATAAGCTTCACTTCAATTGTATTTTGTAGCAGTCATATCTTTAAATAAAAGTTTTACTTATTTTTTGTAACCTTCCTTGTGGTCACGTGTTTTCTGTTCGCTGTAGGGTGGGAAAATTGAAAAATGTACTATTTCCACAGCTGACCAGCTTCCACCTGTCAGGCAGGTTCTGAATTTGGCGAGGCAGCTTTATAAAAATTAAGGCAACACAACAGGCAAAAGCTTACAGGGTTTCTGCCTTCCAAAGGAGAATACAAAACAGCAGGCCCAGGAATTATTGGCACCTTTGAGATAAAGATGAACAAAAGTTGTATAAAATTAACAGCACAGATAATGAGTTATGTTTTATGCTCACAAAATGGGAGAACTTAAAAAAAAAAGATGGGGGAGTGAGGCAAGAAAAGAATCCAAGGTCACTCTTGGGGTCCCTCAGCCTCCAAATCAACGATCGGATAGTACATCCATGCCATCAGTCTATCTGGGAGGCTTTCCAGAAGAAAGCCCTTACAGACAACTAATTGAAATGGCTGGAGTTTGCCAAACGCCACTGGGATTTTGATTGGAGCCGAGGGCTGTGGTCAGATGAGAGAAAAATCGAACTATGGGGCCACACACCACCATCAGCCTGTTTAGCATCAGAAGAGGGATGCATCCAAAGAAAAGAACCTCATGCCCACCATGACATGTGGCAGTGGTTTGTTATTGTGGGGCTCTAGCCCAGGGGCCCTTTTGAGATCAATGGCATCATGACGTCTCCTTCCTAACTCTCAGGATATTTTGGTCCAAAATCTGGTTGCCTCTGACGGTAGGCTGGGACTTGGTCGCAGGTGGACTGTCCAGCGTGTCAGGGAATATCGTACAGCTGGGTGGAATGGAGTTAGGGTTAAGACCTGCCTCAGGGGTACAACAGCAGCACCTGCAGCAGGGACTCGAATCCACAACCTGTCAGTTACAAGACCAAAGACTTACCGACTACATGATGCCAGCCCCTAGACCTTTCATAAGTAAAAAAAAAAGAATCAAAACATTTTTAACCATGGAGTATTCATCCTAGCAGTCAATCACACACTCATACAAAATTGTTTACAAAGAATCTTATTTCAGATCTGAAAACACACTTGTACTAAACAAATACAAGATTTCCAGTTTTTAGAAGCAGTTATCTGAAACTGTGGGAGTGCTTTCTGAAGGGAAATGCCTCTTGCTTTATCTACATAAACTAATTTTAAGGTTACACACAGTGGATCATTGTTAAATCCAGCACGCTTTAGAAGAGGCCAAAGTTTTTTATTTTTATTTTAATAGCTTGTTGTTGCATTCTTATTACAATTCTGTTTTATGTTTTGTAGGAATTTGAATTTGTTTGCAGTATAAAGTTATAAAAAATTATCTATTATCTACTTAAAAAGAGTGTAATGCTTGTTTAAAGTACAATATTCAGAAACCGGGCTATACAATACATTACTTCAGCTGATTAAATGCACTGTAAACTACATTTACTACAGTATTTAATGAGAAAATGTCACCAGTTTAGCCTGAGACCATACTGGAAGCAGATCACCGAATAATACATGATCTACTGCTGTTGCACAGAATCAGCAGTGAACAGATTCATGCCTGGGAAAAATCAAAACGCCCATCGTCCTACAAGTGCAAATTACAAACCTCCCAATTAACAGAGGGTTCGTCAATGAGCAGAAGCAAACAAAATGTCTCCGATAAATAATAATAAAATGGCATCAGTTTTGCACAAGTTTTGTTTGATGAGAGAGTGAGCGAGAATTAAACATGGACAAGGGTTTGTGGTGTTGAAATGTTAAGGTACGTCAGACTAGCTAGACACAGAGCTAGAATTCCTGGAACTATACCACCCATCAGCTAGACATTGTTCTTTCACAAAAAGTCAAATCCAAGGCCAGTCATTTTTTTCCCTTTCATCCTTTATGTAAAGGTATGTCCTTGTTCTTCAAGGACGCTAAAGAAAGCAGAGGGCTACATAATCTGGACTAACAGATACATACAATGTGCATAAAAGGTTAAACAGTAGCAAGATTAAAGTTTGTCACAATGACCAAAAAAGCACAAACTGCATTAAGGTACAAAACAGCTGTAGTGGTCAAAAATATTTTACATTAATCTGTACAATTTAATAATAGGCATCAGCTTCCACCCTCCCTCCCTCCCTCCCTCCCTCTTCCTCTTGAACATTTAGCGCAGTCTAATGGTTTTCAGATAAAGTGCACCTTTCTGAGTTAGCTAAATAGAGTAGGTCATTTCTGATGAGATACAATGACATTTTAGGGCAAATGCAGAACGAGCTTTTTCATAAAATATAATTAAAATCAAGAACAGTTTAAGTGGACACCTAGAAGATTCTGAGTTATGTCTAGAAAATACTATAAAACATGCCTGTATGACAGCTGTCTGGGCTAATATACTAGTTTCGTTTTAAAGATCTCTTCATATTGTGGTGTAAATGACATTAAAAAACGTAAATGTGGATCCCAATGATGCAAGTGAAAGGCTTTCTCGGTTACAGATTTAATTAAAAAAATTGATCGTTTGCTGCTTGGGAATGGCATAGAATGGACGCCTTCTTATCCTGTACTTTGACAACTGCACTGCTTTTTTAAAAGGGTTTCAATACTTACCGGAAAGAAATCACAGCTCAGTCACCAATCGGCTGTGAAAGACCCTTTATGCATGTCTAAAAATGCTATAAGAGATGTGCCTTTACTGGCCTCCATAGGAAGGTCCGCTATGATGCGGGTTCAGTCTTGTGAACTTCCTGTCTTTGAATGTTGCACGAATACCAGCAAATCGTGAGAGCAGGTACAGATCTTTGGACTAATGTCCTAAGAAAGTGGAAAGCTTGTCAGCCAGGCACTGCAAAATGAAGTCCTGCTAGTGTACCATGTGTAACAAATTAGTGTCTAGTTTTCCACTGCAGTTACTGTATCACAGATTCAAACAGTAGAATGTGTACAGCATAAACTCCTGCATGCACGGTTTTAAAGTTGTACAAAAATGCGGAGGAGAAACACTTTCTAATGTTCCTTAAAGTGAGCGGTCCATTCTTAAAACTCCTGTACCAGCAGCAGCACACTTGGTTATAATATGTAAAGCAAATATGCTCATTCTTTATTATCTGGTTTGGGAACCGATTTATTCTGTGGCTCAAGAACCAGCTCCTTCAAGTTGATCTCTTTTCAATATGCAGATCATGCAAGGACAAAGCTGTTTCCCAGACCATGACAGCAGGGAAGAGATATTGTTAGCCATTTTTCAATCCTCAAACTGCCAGTCCAAATCAGGTGCGAATCAACCTCCGGGACCCCATCCCTTACCCTTTGACCCCGACCGGCTTCCAGGAAGTCCTTAGTTCCTTTTACTCTTCTGCCTCTTAACAAGGTTTAATTCAAATCATCAGAATATTAAATGCTATCTGAAAGTCCACTAAAAAGTGTACAATTTATGAAAGACTGGATTCTGGAATATCACAGAAGTGTGGTTTTGGGTTTATCCGGGCACTGGAAGAATGCCCATCAACAAACACTGACAGCGTGCCAGGAGGGTGGCACAGCTGCTCCGGAATACAGGAAGTGCCTCTGGAGGGGCACTAGGACACGCCGCCCAGCGTCAGCACGTCAAAGCAGATGTCGCACACCCTCACGGGCTTGTTCAGGTCAAACTTGATGATGGGGATCTCCTTCATGGAGCATTTGTGACAGAGCAGGCGGCCACAGTGACGGCTGGGGAGAGGAGAGAAGGAAAAGAGGAAAAACAGGGACAGAGAATCAATCCGTTCAGAGATCTCATTCATCAAACACTAGCTTCACAGCAGAAGCTGCTCCTTCTTTCTGTACTACCATTCATCATCTAGGAAAGAAGGGGGCTTCTCAAGCTCCATCACCACGAGCAGTGGCCTGGTGAAGGCCTACTTCTTCAAGAACACTAACGAAAAAAAATGCAGCTATTAAAAGCAGCATCATCTGATGAACGAAGATTGTTTTGATTTTTTTTTTGTTTGGTGGTTTTGCTTCCATAAAAAAGGACAGGAAAAGGATCAATGTTGACTCCCAGTGTAATCTATGTTTTTAAAGCTAGATCACCAAGATTCTCAGATGGCTTCAGCCTGCGATCTGCGAGCTGCACAGTGCAGTACAATGAATTATAACGGAGACACTACTATCAATATGAGCTTTACCAGTGGTGCTTCCTGGTGGTGACCCCGAACTTTGCAGCACACTCATAGCAATTGGATCCATCACACCATGGAGGTTCTTTAGACAGCATATCTACCAAGAAGAGAAAAGGAAATAAGGAGTTACTGAAGAGTACTACTGTCTGTAAATGATATTAATCAAATTGCATTAATGACTGAAACAGTCTCCTAGAGAAACAGTTTTTCTGTGTAAATGTATCCTTGATGTCAAAACTTAGAGCACCTGAAACGCCAACATCTAAAATCTTTCAATGAACATTTACAAAATGACTACAGTTACTGTGTAGTATGATGAAACCAAGAGAAACAGGTCATTTTACTTCAACATTAATCAGAAATAACAAGACCCCACATATCACTTAAGTAATGTGAAATAACATTATTTAACTGCAGGTTTGTGGCCTTGCAAAGCAATGCATTATCTAATGTTTCTTTAATCAGATTTGGACAGCATGTCTCAGCAGGTTTTCCATTCTGGGTTTCATTAGCCTCAGTGCAGAATGCTTTCCTTAATGACCAAGAGTCCCTGAAACAAGCTGCCAGATCCAGAGTGTCACATCAGGGTTAGGCCACCAGAGGGCAGCGTACAGACACTCTAAACACTGGGAGAAAAATTAATTTCCAGAATTTGCACAAGGTTATGAGGGGACTGGCTTCGCCTGTCTGGAAGACAGTTCCCCCACATAAGGGTTCTCAGAGTAGATGGAGGTTTCCTGCTCAGGATTGGGTTAGACCCTCACAGTCATTCCCGGGTCAGAAACTCAGTCTTTAAAGTCAGTGGTTATTAGAGGAAGGTTCAGGGTTTCAGCCTGTGGTGTCTAGGACTGGTCACATGGCAAGAAAGAACAGATACGTTATGGAGCAGAAAGGCTCCTACTGAAAGGCCATCAAGACCAAGGGAAGGCTATTGGGAGAGCAGCAGCCTCAGTTGTGTGTCAGCCTGCCGGTAAACTAAGATGGAGGCCAGAAGAGGTCTGGCCAAACGGGATCGACCTATTCAAGACATTCCACTGTTACTCCCTGAAAGGGGTGAGAGGAAGAAAGGTGGGCACATGACAGATCAAACTGGGAAGGTTAATTACCCAATTCCCGTTATACAAACAGGGTTTGTGTGCACAGATCCTCCCTGCTGTGCTACCACACGAGGGAGATTCATCCCTGTCCCCTAAGTCTCACAAGCAGTCCTGTCTGAAATGGCCTTACCCAGGAGTCTGAAGAGCAGCTGCTTGGTGGCCACCTGGTAGTTAAAGATGTTGATGCCTTGGTTGTTGTTGACCCCCAGTCGTGCCCCTGCTCTCACAATGGCTCGGCAGAGGTTGGCATTTCCTTTCATGTAGGCCAGCAGGAGCACTACAATACACACAGAGAGGCTCTTCATACAGCAACAGAAGAAACCTTTTAGACGTCAATGGAGAACAAGCGCTGAGCTACAACGACAACCTGTAGAGTTACCCTTGTATATAGTCTGGCATTTTACTGAAGCACTCTCTGTGAAGTACTTTGCTGAAGGTACAGCAGTGTCCTAACCCACAATCCTCCGTTTACAAATCTAAAAGTCTAGCAATCACTTCCGAGCTACCACCCACGTTTGGGCAAGGCCCGTACTGAAATGAGAGTAGGTATAAAATAAGTGGAAAACAGTGCCAAATTAATTTCCTAAAAATAAAACTTCAGCTCTTCAGAGAGATTCTTGCCACCAAAGAAAAACCCATCTTCCTGAAATGCATTTTGATAGAGTGCTTTGAGGAATAATAATGGCAAGAGCTACAACTTCAAGGATGAAGAACATGAACTCTACTGAATTATTTCAATACTTCTAAGATTTTTTTCTCAATAAATAATTTAGGAACAGCAAAAGAAATAAGCCAAAACTCTCAGAAGTGCCTGATGAAGGACCGAGTGATATCAATCTGTGTTTGACTTTTTAGGATCTGGGACGGAGGCCGACTGTCTCCTTACCAGTGTTGCCTTCGTTATCGGGCTTGTCCAGTGGATACGCGGGCATGCACTCCAGGAAGAGCTCAAAGATGGCCGCGGCATTCTCCTTCCCATACTGCCCCAGGATGTGCATCGGTGACTGACCCCTGCAGCACAACACTTTACAGAGTCACTGAACACTCCCTAAGTCACTGGGGGCCGTGACCTTTAAAAACCAGGCCTGAGAATTTGCACAGATCTATCCAAAGAAACCGCTAATGCCTTTCCACTTTTGTTTTCACTTCAGCGGTGGTCCGGCTTTATGAATTCATAAAGAGTACACTGCATATTATTAATATCCCGCGATCACTGTGGGTATTGACAACACGAATCAAACAAAAGAAGAGGCAGACGAGATAAAAGAGGAAGCCTGCCAGTCAGATAAATCCATTACTTTTTTTCTTAAAGATTAAAAAGCTAAGTGTGGCTCTTCAGTTACAGAATTGTCATGAGTTCAGAACCAAAGTGCTCTGATCATCTTTAAGAGGGGTGACTGAATTCTGGCTCGTGCATAATGTGAACAAAGATACATCACAAACACATCATCTCTTGTACCACCAGAAAAGCTCAACAACACTCTGTGTCCAGAGAGAACAGGGATCAGTGTTAAAAAGCACACCTGAGATTGAAGGCCTCTGCATCAACGTTGGACTCAGTGAGCAGTGTTCTCACATTGTTCAGACGCCCTTGCATCACTGCCAGGTGAAGAGCTGGAAGAGGACGGAAGAGGATTCTGGTAAGTCTGCACTAGGGAATTCAACAGACCTATTAAATTTGGGGCCCACATCAAAAACCCAAAGCCAAACAAGTTTAACAGAGACAATTTTGTATACCTGCATGAATAAAAAATAATACTCCAACAGGAAGTTCAAAGAAGAATCTGTAATTCAGCAGGTTTGATGCGAAGCATTATTTAAAAAAATAAGATCACAAAAAGAAATAACGGATCACCAGTAAAGGTATTCCCAGCACAATTTCAGCTCTACGGCCCAGGCGTGGCGAATTCAAGCACGGGTAATCTCAACACTGGCAATGTGCCACCAGGGCTGGGATCAGTGGGCATGGCCAGAGACATCAGTGAGGGATGGGCCACTTCTCCAATTGGCACCAACCCTCCTGTGGAGTCTGTACTACAAGTGGGCCAGAGGAGCCAATAATACAATAAAGTACTGTCAGTAGCTCAGACGGATTTCTCACCATTATTGCCGTTCTCATCGACGGCAGCGAAGTCCACTCCGTTCTCCAGCAGCACAGAGCAGATGGTGGGCAGGTCCTGCTGGGCAGCCAGGTGCAGGGCAGTCTGTCTGTGTTTGGTCAGCTCATTGACTTTGGCCCCTGCTAGAAGCTGGTCAGAAAGACGACCACAGATCAGACTCATACTCGTTGTTTTGTTCCATGTTCTTTCTGCATTGACCCATACAGCTAATGTGCTTTCAAACACAGTGAGACCAATCATTGGATAATAAAATATCCCTTCTCTTCCCTCTCTCACTACAGTACCATGCATTGGTGTTCTGTTATGGCATTCCACGTAGTTGAACTATAAAAACATAAAAACTATCCTTTTGCCACAGCTTTTCTAGAGTCACAATTCACCCTTTCAGATGTGGAACAAGTACACATCTGACGTTTGTCTCCTTGAAACAATAAAAAGGCAGGAGAAAAACATAAAACTCCTGAGAGTTGTAGACATTCATTCACATACCTGTTTTTAACAGGGGATAGTGATGAACAAGTCTAAGTCAGTAAATAACGGGTTCAAACATCTAATAAAGGAGTCCTACAGAAAGAATGAAAGCGAAGTAGTTTTTGAAAACAATGCATGGAACAGAATCCTAGCGATTGCCAGGGGCCCAGCAGGAGTTACCTACCAGGTTGCGGACGATGATTTCGGATCCGGCCTGCACGGCCAGGTGGAG